CTACATTAAGTAATTTAGCGTTCCAATTTGTATAAATAAAATACCTCTACATATACACTGAAATTTTAATGCGAAAAGACTATATAACGCAATCAAATATCAGGTATTATAAAGTATTATGGTTGTCGCTTCAATTAGTTTTAATATGTGTATTTACGACGTTATTGTCTATTCAATATTTATCATGTTTATAATACAATAAAAAGTAACAACAATATTCAGTAAAGATAATATTACAACAATTTAAGTGCATTGGACATCACGTCACGAAACTACGAAACGGAAAAAAATGCACATAGAAACCTAAGCCTTATCTAGCCAGAGGCATTTTCGAGAAGATAAAAAAGGTATTTATGGAAAGCTGTGTGCTTCATGCACCCTGAACTTTTCTATCCAGAATGAGACAATTGAGGAATTTTTTATCTAACTATTCTTTTTGAAAAGCTATCACCGCCTTTTGTTTGCATTTCCCAAAATAAAAATGAGCGCTAAAAAGCATAAATTTCTCCTGGCGCTCTTATTTTTGCTCTGAAATAAATATCAAACGGGTAAACAGAGCATTGGGATTTGCAACTAATGCAAGAGCACCCCATCACACGTATGTGGGTAAGGATATACAGCGAAGTAACACCTTCTCAGTGATTAATTAAAGCATTTGAGTGGTGGCTCTAGTATTTTAAAGAACGAATAATTAAGTTAAAACAAAATATGCATATATTTTTTCAATATTATATTTTACAGGAAGATAGTTACCAATAGCTACGATTTACGGCCCCTATAAATTGCTGAGGAAGCAGTTATTCTATCACTTCGACGATTCCTAGTCGTCGTACAATACCCTCTAATTCATGTGTGCTGACTGTGATATTGCAGTTCAATGCCGCACAAATCAACCACTCAGCTACTAGCAATTGAGAAACCTCACAACCACATACACGAGCAACATCAGCAGCGATAGTATCACTAGCTGTCTTATTTAATGGCACCGCTGCTCCGATCTTAAGGTTCAGCAACAGGGAAGCTGCAAGAAATGTGTGAATGTTATGGTACTGCAGACTGAAAACATTGCCATTACGGCACAGGGAGCACAGCGAGTGGGGAATCTGAGAGAATGGTTCGAGAACCGTGGTAGCGAGAAGCTCATTACACTGCGGCTTCTCACTGGGGCACGACGTAGCGGTGAGCAAGCTCACCTCTGAGGAGGTAGAACATTTGGCAGTCACACACGGGGAGCTTGCTTTAGAATCCACCGTTATGTTTGAAGCACATTCGATTTTCGATAAGGGATTAGAATAACCCATCGGAAAAGCAGTATCGACATGAATATGTGCTGATGGTACACTAGAAACGTCCTTTTGTGAGTAATAAAGCTCATCAACTAAAAAGGGGCTCGGTTCCTGTAGTGTAGACACTTGAGCACAGCCTATTGCAAGTGAGTTTGTATTGCTGACTGCTGTGCTCCCTAACTGATGCTCCAGAGAGTGATGAAAAGCACACAAGTTTGCCTTCTGAACTTTTTCTACTAGACAAAGACTCCTTAGTAGGATATCGATCGTCGCGCCGTAGTTTACGGAGATGACCGTAAAAATTGTGTCGACATAATCTGCCAGAGACAAGGACATCTGTTGTACTGTGCTCACGAGGCAACGGGCGGCATCACAGAACGCAGGAGCAGTTCCCTCAATGTGAACCAAAGTACCTGAAGAGCCCCTCAAAGGGGAGGTCAGCACCAAAGACGGTATAGGCAGATTCTGTAGTTCTTCAGCATAGTGAAAATCCAAAATCCTTTTTTGAAGTTCTGTGGTAAGCCCCTGATATGCGTTAGCACAGGAACAGTTTTCGCAAACTCCCAACTCAATGATATTTTTGAGGAAATACGCGATCGACAAGGAAAGTTTATGAGACATTTGTCTATCAACACAAGTGATACTTTTCTAAAAAGGGAACAGTTAAAACAGACACATAAAAATATGATATGTGGAAACACCTGAGGAAGTATGAAAAAAAAAGACGCTTCAGGTTACTGATATTATCTTGCTTTCATCAAATTAAAGAAACGAAAGCGAGAAAAAAGGGAAGAAAAAACAGAAACAAGTGTAGCAATGACGAAAGAAGAAAGGACTTCATGCCATATTTTTGTTTATTTCTCGGTGCACATGGAAGCTAAGACGGAAAATATGATAGAATAAGGAATCAGGGACAAACTTCCGAGTGCCTTCTTTTAAATGAAGCTGCATTCCCGAAGACAAACAATATAGTTCAAATGTAGCTGATGCATTTGATTCATGATTACTAATCACGAGATGAAATACTGAGTAAAAACGACGGCCGTCGAAAAGCCAAACATTCTTCTACAGACACCACAGTCATGATCTAACTAAATCACCCCAGTTTGATGCACGCTTTGTAAATCCAGCTGTGATGGAGACCATAGTTTAAGATAATGCCAAAGAAGATCGACTTAAAATCCAAAGACTGACTCAGAGCTATTACCTATATCATATATCCAATTCCCTGAATGAGGAGCGTTGTGGCAGGGTAGAGCATGAGGAGAAAATTTCTAGCATATCACTTCCGGAGATCGATATCATCGAAATTGAGAGAAATATGTCCCTCAGGTGTGCTGAGATGGCTAATACAATGCACAAGACCAAGCACAACTGCAACCCCTACAAGGCTAATGGAAATATTCGACAAATCACATTCCTTTTGCATCAGTGTGGTGTGATACTTTTTCATGCATTCCTTTGTAAAAGGTTATCAGGCACAAGATGCGTTGCATCTCCATTAAAGGTGAAGGAAGAGCGAAAACTGAAGTGATCTAACTTGAGAATTCCTCTTCCTCAAAAAGTGTGGGGGTTATCATCTCAATATACTTGCTATTAACCATCGCGGTAGCACAGCGTCTAACTTCACGACGAACCCCACCGAATCGACATGCGCGAAAAGGTCCCCTCAGTTCGGTGTCTTCACGTTCGTTGGGTGGATTATCATGACCTGGTGGAAGAGCGGGCAACCACTCATAATGTACCACATCTTCCAGCATAAGGTCACCCCGGTCGCTACCAACAGTGCGCAAGACGCCTTCAAGCTCCTCACCACGGACGGACAGCAGTACCGTCACCCGGCGGCCCTGCAAGTTGTACAGAATATCATAGGGAAGAATAATAGTACGCGCGGGCTTGCTATGATCCCCTGATTTGGTGCTAGGACCCGTCCCTGATACGGATTCATTTATCAAGAATTTAACGTTGGCGCTCATGCCAAAATATAGATGTCGTATTAAAATTGTGTGAACCTGCCTCTTTGGAGTGAACAAGCTCGCCCTACCTATCGTATAGGCGCGATTATGTTGACTAAAATGAAACCCAAAAGGTGAATCTAAAGGCATTCAGAAAAAAAAGTTTAGGGGCGAAAATGGGGTAATGACAGACATAAAACCCTATCTTAATCACTTCATAAGCGCAGTGGGTGCTATGAGGCCAATCAGTGGACAAAACACCCCTCGCGCGTGTGCATCCTACACAGCGGTTGTTGTTAGAAAATCAATAGTAAATCAAAAAAGGGCAAAGAACCGATTCCATGCGCCTCCGCGGCTTCCCGGCTCCCTTACAGACGGCGACCACGGCGAGAGCCCTTGCGGCGGGTAGAATCCGTGGGGATGGGGGTGACATCCTCGATGCGGCCGATCTTCATGCCGGCACGGGCCAACGCGCGGAGGGCGGCCTGGGCGCCCGGGCCTGGGCTCTTCGTGCCCACACCGCCGGTCGCGCGCATCTTCACGTGGAGGGCATTGATGCCGCACTCTTTGCAGCGGGCGACGACGTCCTGCGCGGCGAGCATCGCGGCGTAGGGCGAGGACTCATCGCGATCGGCCTTCACCTTCATGCCACCGGTCACCTTCACGAAGGTTTCGCGGCCGGAGGTGTCTGTCACGTGCACGAAGGTGTCGTTGAAGGAGGCGTAGATGTGCACCACGCCGTACACAAGCGTCTCCTTGTTGACGTTGGGACCGTAGCGCTTGACTTCCTGATTCTTCGACATGTCTGTATTGGAGGGTTGCACCTGTTTATCGAATCACGCGAATAGAGAAAAAAGAAAATATACAAAGTGACGATATTTCATCCGACAACACCTATTTAGCACACATTTTATGATGCAACTCATGCTTTACTTCCGCAGTACTTGACTTGAATTTTTTACTATACATTGAGTAACTTCTATATACATATATATATATATATATATATATATATGCAGAAAAGGAAGACGAATTCACCAATAGGTCTACGATCTCATCTAATCTAGGACCTTTACCTTCCTTACCCCCAGTATATCCCAAACACGACGACATTTACATGCATATACTGGTTAGAAAAGGTAAACCTCGCGTAGTTGTCCGCCTCTGGATCCCACAAGCAGCGCGAGCACACACGCAGACCTTGATTTGCCGCCTCCGTGACAACACAATGCGTTACCAGCTTGTACCGCTCATACCCTAGACGAACTACGCGCTGCTGAATCTCGTTTCCTATATCTTTAATGAAAGACTGTACCTCCTCGGGAACGTAACGTGAATTTTCGCCGATTAATTCCTTGCAAACTTCCTGAATTACCTTTTCTACCTCAGACTTGCAAAATTTATCACCAGGTGAAGGGATAGCCAAAGCTTCACGACTCACAGTGGATGTAGCCATCTTGGACTCCGCTTAGATAAATTGTGTGTTTTTAAGGATGTGTATCCCTTATTTTGCTTGATTTTGGTATCAGTTATCAAGCAACGAAAAGAAGTATCGATGCTTGCTGAATGGATGCTTAAAAAAAAAAAGATGTCGGTAAGCGTGAGAAGCAAAATCGTTGTAATGATAAATAACGGGCATTGACATCAATATGAGCCGTACTTGACTCGAATGGGCGCCAATAAACCAAATGATACATTTGGGTTTGTCCAAGTATTTATTATTTATTTTAAGCAGAATTTAAGTTGCAATGCATTATCACTGTTCACTTGAAAATGAATTCTTTATGATTAAATAGTTAAATCAAGGAGTCACTTTTAAACCTATTAATTCCGTGTAGGATGAGACTTTATCTGTTGATCATAGGTAACTACCAAGGGATTTCTCGATAATCCTTAAAAAAGGTGCCGTATGCGGTGCTATTGGTGTAGATAAGATCTAGACAGCGAGCCGCAGCATCCACCTCATCCAGTGGGCATAAAGAAAAGGTATCAGAACGACGCTCCCGTTGAATTTTAGGAGATTCGTCGGTTATCCAACCGGTATCTACAGAGTTCATGTAAATTCCATCCTTAGCGTAATCCTCAGCACTGGTGCGAGTCATCATGTTCAACGCCGCCTTGGCCATGTTCGTATGCGGGTGTGTGGTCTGCTTGAAGCGGTAGAACTGACCCTCCATGGCTGAGACATTAATGATAAAACGAGGTTCGGGCTGCACAGAAGAAACCTCGTCGTCACCCTCACGATTTGTAAGACAGGGCTTTAGCTTGCTGTTGAGGATGAAGGGTGACAGGGCATTAATAGTCATCACCTCAGCCGCCTCACTTCCCTGCACCTCTGCAAGCTTCATAACCCATGAATTGGTTTCACGGTTATCGCTTTCTTCAGCCTGCGTATCGTAGCGGTCGAAAATAAGCGTTCGGTCAGACACAACGTTTGAGGAAACTGTCTGCTCAGCAACGAGAGATAGATTATTTTGCGAGTTCTCCCCTGTAGCCTCACGTAGCTCAGGAGAGGAGCTCTCAAGGCTTGCCCCTTGAGCCGTCTCTTCAGATGAAGCCGTCAGGAATAAATAGGGATTACTGCGGGGGTGATGCTCAATCGTCAGCGGCTGCCCTACCATGACGGTAGAGTGGGCAAGGAAAAAGGAAAACCACTCCCTTGAATTACGATCAGCTTCGATGACTCGTCGTAGATCCGGCGAAGGATCCGCCTCGATCTGACGGAGATGGGCTGTGTACTGCGGTGTGCGCGCGATGGTCTGCGCTGCGTTGTTGATGATCGCAAACAACTTAGGATAGCGCTGCCGAACAAAACCACAAAACTGAGTCACCACCCATAGATCTCGCAAATCCAGGGAAAACAGGTAAAGTCGATCCTTCCATGTCTCATAATCGACTTCCTGTTGGAATCGCGCGACCGCTTCGTGAACAAAACGCGTCGTCCCTAGCACGACAGCACCACAGCGCAACAGAGAAAGTGCCATGGCATAGCCAATCTTAATCCGACAGCCGGTCAGAAGCACCACCTTACCCCGTAGATCCCGTGCTAAGAGCCGCTTATTATAGTTAAACTCTCCACAAAGATGGCACATGCTGTAGTAATATGGGTGCAGGTCATTAAAGCGGACTCTGCACGTGCTGCAGCTTCTGAAACGGCTAAGTTTAAGGTTATCATGCCGTGTGCAGGCATACTGCTGGACGTCATCAAAGATAGACCAACAATCCGGCTCTTCTGAGTCTGAGATGGGTGCGTTACGCTCGATTACAATCGGGGAACTACCGAATCTCAGCAGATTCTCATTGCAGTACAAGCGTCGGGCGATGAAAAGATTTAGGGTTTGCTTGGCAAAGAGCTTGGAGGTAGAGAATGGAAGGCCTGAAGATGACTCCAATGTGGATTGGCGCATGGTATCCCCACTTCCCTCCGTCATGGCTAACTCGATAGCATCCAAGAGCCATTGTGCGTCGCCACAAATGCTGCAACTAGCTTGCCATTGAGTCTCTTCACAACCAGGTTGGCCACGGTTGCTGCTTGCTACCAAGTCCCGTAGAAATTCCACCCGATCCAGTCTAACGGGCGCCGACAAATCGTGCACAATAACGTCGCACTCGGCGGCAGAGTGAAGAAATTGAGCCAAGTTGCACGCCTCGATGCGAGTTGAAGATACGGTATCGGCGGCATCGGGACGGTCCCCACCCTTTTTGAGGTCTTCCCGCACCAGGAGCTGGCGCGCTATAGCCAGCTTAAACCCGCTGATGTAACTACACCGTTCCCTTTCGCAAAGGGAACGCGGCACAGGCCCTGGGAAGAGGGCTGGCGGCATTTGTGAGCCAAACGCATGGGGGAGGTATCGATACACCTGTGCCGTAAGCTGGGTCGCGGCCACCCAATCCACCTCCTGGGAGTTGACCTTGGAAGCCGCTGGTGAGCCCGGGGCCACGCATGCGACGCTAGGTGCGTCTCCTCTTGTAGAGGGCGAAGAGAAGCCGTCGTGATTCGCGCATGGAACCTTCCCAGACTGAGGGTTTACACTGTTACCGTCCGTAGGGGTATGAGAAGCACGAGCTGCTAGTTCGGCCCTCGATAGGGTTACGGCATCGTTTGATTGAGGTGATGCAGCCGAGGTGCTTTGTGGAAAGCTTGGCGACGCCGATGGGTGGTCGATGGGCTCCCCGCGGAGAACCTGCTCAAGCCGTAGCAAGTTCTCAAAGGCGCCAATCAGACGAAGTAGTTCTATTTCAGTCGTAGCCAACCCCTTGTCGTCAGTTTGCTTATGGCCTTCCTTGGAAAGATCATCTAGTTTGACTGGATCGTTTAATGCACCGCCTTTCGGATTCGGAAATTGCGCAAGGTTATCCTGAAAGTTTTGCCCCTCACATAGAAGAAGTGGCGATGAATCGCTCTCAACATCAGGACGTGTAAGGATGTTCAACGCTTCGACCCGCTCGCGTTTCATGCCGGTGCGATTGATTGTCTCTACATCCTTCATCCGCTCATATCGTTTTCGTCGGCTTTTCTCTTCATTCATGATGGTCTTGTACACTTCACGATGCTCTCGCTTTGTTTTGCGGTCACGGGTAATCATGATGTACAAGCGGCTATCAGCGAGGTAGGGATCCCCAACAAAAAGAGAGGGGTCACGGAACAACCTGCTAACTACCTTGGTTGCGCATTGAAGCTCCGCAAGGGTGAACCCCCATTTCTCCTCACGCTCATTTAAAGCCAACTCGCGGTCATAGTTCTCGTTGGGAAGCAAAAGAGCATACGCGGGCTCATTAATGGCCGAAGACTCTTCAGTCTTACCATCCTCGGCAGGGCTGTGTGATGTTAGGCAAGCTGAGCCCGCACTTTTCTCCTCGGGCATTTCTTCCTTTTTGTAGGCCTAAAACAAAATGGAAAAGAGGTTTTGTTGAGGCGTTAATTACGGCCTCAGTGTAAACCCACGTAAGCTTCCTTTTGTTCTGGTGCTGCTCTAAAATGACGCACTATTGTGATTAAGTAAAGAAGTGTGAAAAAAAGGATTCAGTCAAAAAACGGGTAAACAAATTACAGGCTTCAATGTAGAAAAAGAAGACGTAAAACCAAATTTTATGGATATGAACGTTAGAAAAAAGATTAACGACACTCGCTCACTTCCCCCATATTCCAACTATTCAATATTACTTGATTAGATTTACTCACGATTTTTCAAAAAAAAATGTACTTGCAACTCTTTAATTATGCCACTTTTTCTATCACAGATATGTTAATTTATCATTTCAAATATGCTTTTTGTGTCTTGTCTTTCTCTGTACTTAAGCCTTCGATGGATTTCTCCACATCACAGTGGCGGTTGTTACTCCCGATTCCAACTCTAATCCTGAGAAAAGAAAAAGTTGTGAAAACAAATAAAGACAATCTAGTCTGTGATTGCGGACAAAAGAGCGCAGTAATACGCAAGTAAGAACTTCGAAACCTCAACTAAAGCCCCCACAAATATGAGAAAAGCAAGGCGCATGTGGTTTCCTCTTACAAGCTTCTGACAACACTTTAAGAAAATTTAAGAGACAGATATGCATGACCTAACCCATTGAAAAGGGATCGATGCCCATCTGTTCCATCATCATTCGCTGCATAAACTGGTTCTGTTGCATCTGCTGCATCTTTTGCTGGTGTTCTTGTTCATCTTTATGGCGGCGATCAGCGATCTCGATCCGGTAGCGGTCAAGCAACGCCGATATCTTGGACGCACTCAGCGGAATATGAGAGAGCAGGCGGCACAACATCTCAGCTCGGTTGCGGATCGACTTTTCAGGCGACCGCGTCCAAAGCTCAAAAAGCCGTTGCGGAATAACACTAGAGATAAAATGAGTGAGAAATGGTTCTCTGTACTTACGAGAACCAGTCATAGTGAGGATGGTCGTGAGAATATGGTTAATGATTGTGGATTCCATGTTTACACGAAGAATATCCGCAAGCCGCTCAATGTTTTCCTTTGTGGAGGCTTCTTCTAGCCCCACCTCCGCACGTGTCATGTAGTTAATGGCCTTGACGCAGTTCTCGATGATACTATGATTATTGTGTTCGAGCAGACGGAAGAAGAAAGAAATGCCACTGTAGCCATCCGTCCCCTTCCCCACATTAACCGCACCGATGTTTAGTGTACAGATGTTTGCGAAAATGCCAGTGAGGGCACTGAGAAAGAGAATGGGGCTTTCGATGTCGATAATTCGGAGCATCTTCACGGTGGCTGGCATTTTTGCCAAGGCATAAGCACCTTCAGAGCCTTTTGGGACATCCGTGTCAAGCACCACCATCTCATCGTCCACGCGTGTAAGGTTCTTTAGCGCGTCCGCAATCTCTTCCATGAGATTTTGATTTCCCTGGCGATGCGCTTCACTCAGGGAACTGAGTAACACTTTGTAGGCGTTGAGCCTATACAATGCTTGACGGCCCTCTGCATCAGCGCTGAAGACACGCACCAACACCTTGAGTGAAATACTCACCGACTCCGCGTTAGATTCATCCTTGGCAAGCTTCACCAACTTTACAAGTGACGAACCATGCTTGGATGTCGAGAGGCGGGATGAGAATTCCTTCTTGATCGCGTCCGACTGCAGGCGGCCTAGGATTTCATGTAGGATGGCTACCTTACCCTCCTCATTCTTCTCAGCGTCTAGTCTCTTGAAGAATGTACTCATAGAAGACTGCATATCGTACATCTGGTGGTAAACTGAAAAAAATGAAGCAACTGAGAGGCCTCCTACCGCCACGTTAAAAAGGTATCTAAAAATAGCCGGATTAAGTGGAGACTCCATTTTATTATATCTTTAATAAAATGAGGAAAGGTTTAGATTAGATATATATATAAATATATACAAATGAACCTACCCGTGTTGCTATTTTGATTGGGATTGAATCGATAAAACAACTAGACAAAAAAGGAAGAAAAAAACCAATAGAAATGCAGGGAATGAGATGAGGGAGGGAGAGCAAAGAAGGGAATAAAATTCCGTCATAATCAGTCGGTTAGATTTCGTGAAATCACAAGATAAAAGTACAAACACGTCAACATCTATACAACTTCACATGGGTCGTTTGTGATGCGTTCATGTTTTACTTTTGCCAACGTCACCGACCACTAACGGCTCACCCTAGTGGACAAAATGATTTAAAATCTTTGAATTGAGCTACAAATATGGTGCAACAGGTCGCTCAGCAGCTCGCTCCTCAGCTGTCTTTATCATGCTATTTTGGTAATTGAGGTAGTCCTCTCGTTCTACCACGCGTTGATCTTTTCGATTTGCCAAGAAGTATCGCATTAAGTGTGCCTTGTCAAAAATGGGTTTGGGCATAATTTTGGAATTTTGCCGGTACGACGGCGGCAACAGTCCCGACTTTGCTAGAATATTCCACGGCCCAACAGACAACCTACAGCGTTTCACACCAAACCAGTATTTAAAAGCGTCGATATCAATAGTAGTAAGCATAAAAAGATGACGATCCTGCATGACAGGAGTGTCAGGCGACCATAAGGACTTTTGCGGGTGCGGGCAATGCTTCCCGAGATAGTGCAGCAGACGCAAATCAGAGTTGCGACGCGTGTGCGTGTGCTCAACAAAGATATCATAGGATTGGAACTTCCACACGACGTGATGTCCGCGCATGCGAATGATTGGAGCCCCTGGGGCACCCCATAATTGAGGCCGCTTACGATTCACAACGGGGCGAGCTAATGAAGCAGACGTTGCGCGAAGCATTTCCAATTTCTTTGTATGAAAGTGAAATTTTAGTAAACAATAAAGGAAAAAAATATATTTAAATTAATTTATCGAAAGCTTCATTCTGTCAAACAGACAGCAGAAGTTTATAGTAAAGGCTTATTTAATATGTTACTTGTACACGTTGAAATAAAATGAAATCGTTTAATTATAGGATAACAAACAACTGAAGTAGGTACCCTCATGGTCACTTCTCGAGATGTTTGTATAGTAATAAAAAATGAAGATAACAGTTCATGTTTAGAAATCCCTCTAATCCATTATGACTCTTTATAGGTCGAGTTCGAACATCTTTCAAAACATCTGATGTGTGACCCAAAGGAAATTTAAGTTGTGAGCAAGCTGCTCAAAAAAACAGACCTCATTGCTCCCTTCTTCCCCATAAAACACTTCTCATCGTTTTCGCTGCGCCACCTTTGATTGTTCATCGACTTCCTAACCCTAAAAAATAGTACATGTATATATATATACATATATATGTCTGTGTGTATCTATAACAAAATCGAAGATCATTAAACATAATAATAAAAATATCAAAACAACAGGGAGTACCACAAATACATGTGTGACAAATCAATACTTAAAGTTACACCAAAAGCCTCCACAAGATGTCTTAGGAGATCAAGGACATGAAAAAAATAGTATTTACATTACTATAGAAGACGTATTGCAGAAACTCCTGTGTCATACGCTGAATTACACTTTCAGCGAATGGGCATCAAATAGATTTACTGAAATGAATAACAGGCCTTCAAGTTAAGGCACTAACTAGCACATAGACACATATCAGTGATCCATGCTGATTTAATTGTGGTCAACTCATATTAATCGTGCGCAAACCCCTCGAAAAGAAAACGTAAAGCTGACACTCCAATAGTTATCAGTACACATTCCCAGACAGAAAAAAAAACTAACGGAGAGAATAAAATCACTACATAAGGGATTATTCGAGACAAGCAAAAGAGTAACAGTGAAAGAAAGCGAGCAGCTATTAAGACAGCCGTGCAATTGGTGTTTGTATAATCTTAACAATTTTCGATTGATTAAAGTAACCACTTCTTGATTTTATTTCTTTGCTTGTTTCTACCCCCCTCCCCTTGAATTAAAAAAAAAGATTTAAATGCTGCAATTCGGAAATGTGTAAGAAGAAAGGAGAAACAGTTATTACATGATCTTCAAAAAAAAAAGACATCAAGTAATCACTATTCTTAGGAAATTGTATACGCATATCGATATCAATTCCGAAACGTCGAACATGCGATGACGTGTTCGCAACACAATTTCTAAGAGTTGGAGAGAATCAAATGATAGCAGATAAAAGATTGCAAATTAAATAAACACAAGAATGTTTAATTTAATACTTCATTACTGACTTCTAATATTATATATAGATACATAATATTACTTTATGCCTTAAATGACTGTCTTATTTTAGGAAATGTACACCGCTGACGCTCGTCAGAGTCAATTTCTTTTATGCCTTAGACGAAGAAAGGACTTTCTATTACTAACTGCAATGCCCTTTGTAAGAAACCTTACGTAAAAAAAAAATGCGAGTACATATACTGAAAATATATTAGGCTTGATATTATCGAATGAGGTAACAATAACAAAATAGCATAAGCGAGAGTGAAATATAAGCTTGCTCAAAACTACAACGCCCGTTTTATTATTCATCAAAAAGTTGTGACTCCTCTTCAATGGCTGAAATTAATGACGCAGTAGGAGCCAGCAGCGCACCCACAATGTAGTGGTCACTTGGAATATTTCGAGTGGGCAGGTGCCTGTTATCACCTAAATGCAGCACACCAAGACACGCAAGCTGACCCTCCTCGACAAGAATATGATCCAGTACCTTTCCCTCCATGTTTGTGGAGGGATTGACTGCAGACACAGACAAAGGGTAGTAAATACAGTACACCTCGTAGGTGTCGCTGAAACGAATTTGATGCTGGAATTTAGGAAAAATCACTCGCGGTGCAGTAGGCACTGGTTTCTTATCGGGTGCACACATAGGTGAGTCAAAATCCAGAAGCAACGCCTCCGGATCCCACTGCTGTGGACTGTGCGAGAAGCAGGAAATGCTCTGATCAAAAGCGTGATAGGGTTTCAGTGGCGAGTCCAATTCGTCCCGGTGATCAGTCAAGTTCGCCCAGGATGGGCTTGTTTGATGTTCAAACATCGTCGCACCTAACTTCTTAAAAGGAAGCGGGTTGAACGCCATGACTACTGATGTCATGTTAGAACCCTTTTGCGTAGCCTCATTATAGGTTACCTCCAACCCATGTAGTCTTATTGGCCCGTGGGCAAGGGAGCTCACGTCAGTGTCGCGCTCCTCTTTCAGACTACTGCTAGAAATATTTCTTGCTGATTCAGCGTTGAAATGCTTTGAGAAATGGAGAGGGGATGTGTATTTATTGCCCTCATTGTATTCACGACCACTTTCAACAACTATCCTAGATGTGGTGCGAGGCTTCATAGCCTTCTGCTTTTTGATCAGCTCCAAGGTCTCGGAACTGTCTGTTATGTTAGCACCCAAACTCCAAAAGGAATCTTTTGTCGAAGGGTCTGTGGTTCCCGGTAAGCTTCGTCGGCGAAACGGTGAATAAGGAGAACAGAATAACGAGGGAGACGCCTTCTCGCGAATTTTGCGCTTGCTAGATGCCTGAACCACGCGCTGTACATCAATCTTAGGTCTTAGGAGAGGATCCTCAACGTTTTGGGGTAAACCAGAGGTCCGATTATGCGGCAAAGTATTATCTACACTACCTATATCAGAATCACAGCATTCAGCGTCGATACACGTCAAAGCGCTTTTCTCCATTACCGCGTCCGATGATGTTGTCAACGGGCTTTTCTGTGACACTGAAGAAGTGATAGACTTTGTATTCGTCTTAAGACTAGCAGACGTTCGCTGGCCCTGGTCCGGCGATGCTCCACCAAAGGATGCTGCAGCAATAGTGTGATCGCTCGAGCCAAACGTGCAAGGAAGGTCGGCCCGCGTCACACAGCAGGCTAATGGTGTTTCTGGAGTCCTAGAAAAACAACACAACCCTTCCTCGGTATGATTTCGGGGGGTGTCCCTGCCAACTCCTTCACACGGACTCCAACTTTGCAGCACAGGAGTTGAGGCTGGAACGGTGCTCTTCAGCAGATATTTAAATACAGGACTGCTTTTGTCGACATTCAGGTCACCCGCAATGAGACAAGTTATGTGTCGCTCATTCGAGGATGTATCTGCTAGACTGCTATCAAAGAAAGGAGGAGACATATAACGCGGTGTGCCCTGGTCCCCACTCAGTGGTTGCAAGCCAATGCCGGAGGAACACAGGGGCATTTTACGCTGAACACCTTCCTTATAGTTTTCATATTTAAACTTGAGACTTTCCATCACATTCAAAAGATGATGACTCTGCCAGAGCTGAAATTTGATGTGTTGGTAAAGAAGGTGGACGGCGGCAACTATGTAAATCTGCGCTGGCATCGTTAGGTCTTGGAGTACGCAAACAAGAGCTACATTATGGGTATTCATCTGGAGCTTTTTCAGCTCAGAATCGGTGACGTCAGGGTCTTGTGCAGCAACTTTGTTGAATTGAATGGGTACCTTCTCAAGAAGCTTAAAGCGGTTCCGATTGTAGAAAATGGCAACCCCCTCCATCTCTGTGCGACGGGAAACCACCTCGACAAGCGCGAGAATGTTTTTTTCTGGCTCGTCACTCTCGTGGTGGGTTAATTCGTTTCTGTAAGCATAATCAGTGGCACATGGTGAACCAGAAAGCGCTGGGCTATAGGGAGACGCGTAGGATACCCGCGAATCCATAGTGTCATGCACAGGATCCTCCGGGAGATCCCCTGCAGTGTCTTTCCTACCTTGCAGACTGTCCTCATATGCAGCACTCATCAAGCCCATGTCACAGCGAGGTACGCCTTGCCGGTCGGTGATAACAAGGTAATCCCCCTCATAGTGCATAGACACTCTAAGAAAGGCTCCTAAGCTGTTCTCGAAAGCATCAACTGTCATTTCTGCAAAAATGATGATATCTGGGGCAACCTGCTGAATTTCCTTCTGAACAAGGCCAATGCGATAGCTCTCCCCTAGCGCAGCCAGTGGACAGTGGGGGTAACGGTCTGTAGTCACATAACGACCGGCAAGGATGTTGTAAGCAACAATCGTGAAGGCCCCTTTGAGGTTTTGTAGCAGTTGAAATGGTGTAGGGTTACAATCTCTAGAATTTCCAACAAACAAAGGCGCCTCACTAGTTTGCTTAGTCCTAAATGATTTCATATATTGCTTTGAAAGAACTCTCCATACATGCTGATAGTACTCCTCATTTAGAAAAGTCTTTACTTTCCTAGACCACCCTCTCATGATAGGGACAACCGGCTCATGTATGGTGGTATTGTAGCTTTCACAAAGGCTATCTTGGATCGTCTCTACACTCAACCCAGAAATACTAGACATGTTCATACCATTCCTTTCTCGACTGCGGCGCTCGAGTAACGTCAAAGGCCTTTTAAGACTACTCGTGTCATTTGTGTTAGACGCGGAAGCGCTACTGGATGAGTTGACCAGCGTTAAGGGTGGGGGTGGTGTCAGAACTATGGTGTCACTTTTTGATTGAACAGACGCGATACCAGAAACAGTGGAAAACGTTGGGTCATCGACATCAACGTTGATGAATGTTACTTTAGGTATAGCTGCTAGACACGACGATGGTTGTGAAGTAAGTTCATGAGAAAGTATGGACTTCACCACTGTTGTACCTTTGTTGCTTACATCCTCGGTGGATGCATCGGGAATACTACCGGACATACTCCCAAGAATAAAAGATCGGAAAAATGATTCCAATGAAACGAAAAAGGTAGAAATGCCACTAAATGGTTTTTGGAGATGCTCCACCTGGTTTATACGTGTATTATTTATATACATATAGATGTTTGTAGTAAGACAAATATGCCTATAGTGTGGATTTGAAGAGAAACGGCTCACCTTTGAAATGCTTTTCAATCCTTACTAAAAAGCTGTGGTTTAGGCGTACATTTTATTTTGTAAATGAAGTAGAGAAAAGTTAAGCAACAATGTTGTTAGTAGGGGAAGCAATAAACTGAAGCTTCGCAAGACAACAATAAAAATAAGCAGTTAAACGGAAGTAATTCGTAGAGACTCTCTAGTCGTACTAGAAGACACGATGCGCCTTTCAGTAGAATATTTTCCCTTTTTAACGGAGGAAGGGCGTCGACATTCAAGAAAGGGTGCATTTTTGGTTTGGAAAATGTTGCCTACATCGAAATAATTACGGGAAGAAATATATAACGCAAACAAAATAATGCTTAGCATGTACAGATAATCGATTAAATAGGGGTGGAAAAAATCAGAAAGCACCATAGCATACTGATCCAAATAATCTGACTTAAACCATAAAATCCGGATTCGGTTTCTGTTCATTTAGCTGAAAGCAACGGAACTGTAGCAACCACAAACCACTTCCGACTAGCTTAGCGAAAATTGGTAGCTACGATGAAATTCCAGATCCTTATCTAGGAGCTGTCTTTGCAGTTCAATTACTTCATTTTCTAACAGCTTGCAGTCTTGCTGCTCCTTCGCAATAACCTTATACTTTTCCTCACGCTCTATTTCCTTACGCCTTCTGCAACTCTGCTCTTCGACCAGCAAATTCTGGATTGTTTTTTCCTGTTCTTCAATACTCTTTTTCAGGGCCTCAAGTTCTTTTATTGTGATGCCTGACTTAAGCTGTTCCTGTAAGTGAATGCACCGATCATGGGCTTTTATATCTTCTTTTGTAATCCGACGAAGTTCATCCGTGAGCATCTTGAACTGTATACGCGCCTCGCTGGTATACGCCCGTTGCTTGGTACGCAAGTAACGCGCCCGAGAAACTTCAGAATCGATCTCACGGATCCTTGGCTTTCGCCGCTGCCTCACAACCTCAAGAGTCTGTATTTCCTCCTTAATTTTACCAATTTGCTTTTGCACAGCTTTGAACTCATTTTGCTTGTTTATGACATGCCAATCGGAAGCGAGTTGCTTCTCTATATCATGTGCAATACTTAACTTGTGTTTTAGAAAGGCATTGCGCTTCGTAAGATGACTAATCTCCGCCATCACAGACTCCTCTGCCAGCGCGGGAGTGTGACCCCAAAGTTCCTCACGCCTTGCGGTTGTAAGAGTTACTGTCAAGCTATCAAGCAGGTCCTTCTTCTCATTAAAGACTTCCGTCAGCCTTGATATTTCGTTGCGAATCCCTTCAATATTTCGCGTGGATGAGCTACGTATTATTTGATGTGGATCTAAGGATGGATGTGGTCGGGTACCTCTGTTACCGTTAGTGCCACTATTGTGATAAGTTGCATGATTGAGCGTGTCTATAGACCCCTGATTTGCAGGGTATCGATTCATGATATGAGATTTTGGTACTAATGAACAGGATTATATGTTCAGCTCATAAGGAGTCTTATGCTACCAAACTCTAAAGCTATAATATACACGAAGGAAAGCAGAAATCAGCTTGAAAGCACATGATGCTTTACGACAATGAAAACATACAGATAACATGTGATCGATGAAGCTACCGAAACACAACATTCTAGCATTTCTCACAGCGCATCATTAGAGAATTTAAAAAAGGGATAGCAACCCCACGTCCTCCCAAGCACACACATACAAATATGCAAACAAGAATGATGAAGTTAACAGTAGAGATAGTGTTCAATCTTGCGATTTATTTGGGGTTAAAAAACTAAACTTGATTGATAATATTTTCGTTGTATAAATTGAAGCATAATCCCTTTTGCCGATCACAAGAAGTATTTCAATACATATATCAGCGCGTCAAAAATACGCAAGCGCAATAAGCGACACGCATAAAAGACATAGACTATTAAGCATTTCATCTAGACTGCAACGGAGAAAGCATAGGGCGGGAGAGAAGGAGTTTCCTCAGCCCCATAGGCAGTGTACACCTTCTTGAGGCAGAGCTCAACCAACTAATTGAAGGGTCAGGTGTCGATGGCAGGTTTGGATCATTAGGATTTATCCCTCGAGCTGATTTGAGAAACACTCCTTGATAATAGCAAGACAGGGTACTATCAAAACAGCTTCCCTCGTTTCTGCTTAGTGGAAAAGGGTATGTAGACCGGTATTCCTAATTCAAGGAGAATAGAAGCCAAAAATCTGTTCCTGTGGCGGAGGGCATCCCCATTTCTACAAAAGGAAACTTCGATAAAGTTTTCATAATTCATGAATATGCATAAATACTTGAGTGATTGTGTGTATGTGTGTGTGTACTATTTGAGTAAGGTATCACGAATGATCATTAAAAATGGACATTAGAAAGAGGAATCCAAAATTAGAAGCCCAATGTCAATATAGTAAAATGGAAAACGATAAGCTGTACTGAAGCAGTTAGTGTTAATAATATTAATCTAGTTATTGTTATTTGAAGGATGGCACCCTTCTTGTTTGGTTAGTACTGTTAAATGAGTACAAACTCTAGGAGTTTTTTTATTCTTTATTTCAAAGGTTGAGCGCAAGCCTTCATTTATTTCTGAATTACACTGCCCCAAGACCCTTGCACTTGTATTTTAGGCAAAAGGATTGGTTACTGCAGTTCTCGCTCTACTTCCCACATTTGGGCAAAGACATGAATGGGATTCTTCCCAACAGAACGCATATGATAGAGACCTGCTGGCAAGACTACACATATCTTCTCAACGCTTCCTGGACAAACGGAACCGACGCAATACCAACTCTCCTCGTCCACTTCCCCTAAGGAGGACAGGCTTAACTCCTTTACCTCCAAAAAAACCCGTGAATTGGAATGTGGTCCATTTGACGGTGTTGATGCTTGAGTCAACGATGTCAACTGTAGACGACATTCTACGTTTAATGCTATGGCAATATCTTGTTCAACCTCAATCTGAATGCCCTTACGAACAACGTGCTGTGATTCGGAGAACCAGTAATTCTTGTATTCTGATTTAGGGGGGGTGGGAACAAAGCGCACTCGGTTGCCTCGAGGGTCAAAGGAGATGTGCTTTCGCCTATTAGAGTGATTACCTAACGATCCTTTTTTCGAAGGATGGCGAAGAGTCATTTTCTTGGAGTCACAACGGCCGCGCTGATTTTGCCCTGACTCGCTCGAAAACACTTTGGTCATGAGATTACTTTTAATTAATAACAAAGTTAAAATTGTATGTAGACACCTGAAATGAGTACTCTAGTTTACAAATTACAAAGGATTCGATCTTGCGGAGTAATTAGCGGTTATGTATGTATCTATTTATTTATTAAAAACACGTATTTCTATTGCTGTATCCCTATTCCACTTAACATAAGATACTACCAGACAATAAAAGGAAAAAAACAAAAAATCCATATGACAATCCGCAACTGCTCTCACAGAAGAAATTGAGCACAAGAAAACATCACACAAATAATTTTATCACTCATGCACGTCTCCGGGTACAACTGCATTTGATTAGGAATGCGTGTAAAACGCATCGCTCCCAAACATCTTAGGTATTCTCCTTGCTCTTCCTGCAAAGAGCAATAGGATTAAAGATGCTTATCATAACTCTGAAAATAGTTAAATCAGATTTTATTATCAGACTTCAGTCAAAGCATTTCATCGTTGTGAAGACTCTCTCAAAGGTTACACTGTGTGCATACTTAGTTTGAAAGAGAGCAAAGGGAATGAAAGGTGACTGAAAGAGGAAACACTGCGAAAGCTACAAAACTCCATTTGGGGCGGTGCTTTCTAATCCTAGCAAAAGAGCGGGAACACTAAACACATAGCACGTGTCCTTTGATAAGGCCGTTGATACTTCTTCTACTGTTGGTGTTCTCTTTCCCAGTTAGATAAAGAGAAACGGGTATTAGACAACTATTGAACGTTCCTACCCCCTCATATGCACAGATGCCTATCCATCTTAATGCGTGCACCTTACTTTACTCCTCGCCAAAATTTTCAGAGTCATACCATTCGAATCCACACGTATGTTAAGCAAAAACATGTACAATGGACAATGGGGCCTGCGTTTTGGGGTCCCTAATAAGGGTATACTCCTTCCTGAATTCTTCACTCTCAAAGTATGCATTGAGCGCCTCCTTTGAGACGTTTTGCGTAGATGGTGCTAAATCGGCCACGTCAATCTGCACACGCGTTGGTTCAATGCCACCTGAAGCGTTGAGCTCGAACTGCCGCACTGCGTGGACTAAAAGCTTTATGCGGTGACGGATAAGTGGGATGGGCTCAAAGTCAGACTCCAAGTATCTACGGAACCGACTCTCCATTGCATTCCTCATACTATATTTTTGAGTTTGAATAAAACATCGCAGGAAAAGAGAGATCGCGGCGGTAACATCTTCTTGAACCACAAACTCACGAAGATGCAATCGCGCATGAGCCTCACTCAATCGAATGATGGACTCCATATGGCGCACTGTGATTGCGATACCGCCATGCTTCGACTCCTGGCGCAGTTCAGTATACAGACGGGGGATGGTGTTGATGTCGATATTCGAAATACGCGGATGGCAATGGCTCTTGGCGTACAGAAGGTACTTTTTCAAAAGCGCCTGCGGTAAAGGTTTATCCGTGTTAGGGTCCTCATCCTCAAATTCGTTGTGCTCCTCCATAGAACGGCGTAGTTCTTGCAGCTGGGCTACATAGGCATCGTGTTCGGCATCTGTGGTAGCCTTCTCTATAGCATATCGTAGTCGAGATAGCTCCTCGTGAAGCTCTCGCCGCCGCTGACGTTCTTCTTCACGGGATCTGGGATGATTGCGGATGTGAGAATCACATATAAACGCTGCGAGTCTCTCATCTTGTACCACATTCACCTCATCACGAACAACAAAAAGCAAGTCGAAACGAGAAAGGATCGGCGTGGTCAGGTTGACATTTGCGTCAAAGGACGACGAAGGGTCGTAGCGACCCCCAATAGGATTTGCAGCGGCGATGATACAACAACGAGCCGACAGTGTCGTGACGATGCCACCTTTTGCCACCGATATGGTCTGTTGCTCCATCGCCTCGTGGATAGAGGTACGATCCTGATCCGACATTTTGTCGAACTCATCGATGAGGCAACAGCCACGGTCGGCAATGACCAAGGCACCCCCTTCCAACACGAAGTCGCCGGTAATACTGTCTTTGTGAACGGAGGCGGTGAGCCCTACCGCGGTGGAGCCACGGCCGGTCGTGAAAACGCTGCGATCCGCCGTTTTTTCGACGAATTTCAAAAACTGAGACTTCGCGCAGCCTGGGTCGCCAACCATAAGGACGTTGATATCCCCACGAATCCGATGCGACTGATCCCCACCAACATCCTTCGGGATCCCGCCCATCATCGCAAGAAGCAACCCTAGCTTGATATCCTCGCGACCATGAATACTGGGCGCGATAGAGCGAATCAGCTTGCGTCGAATCTTAGGATGTTGGCTAAGCTTTACAATTCTTTTTTTTTCGTCCTCGGGCACACGGAAGGTACCAAGCTCCACGGTGCGCCGAATAACATTGTTCGCGTGAAGCACCGTGGTGAAGACGGGAAACCCCTGGCGGCTATTGAGAAGCGGGTCGAAGCTGTTCCGATAAATACCCGTCACATCCACCTCCTCGCCCGGTTTCGCACGGTCGATCAAATCGTTCGTGAGAACCACCTCCAGGCTGCGTGGTAGACGCCCTGGCGGCACCTTTCCGGGTGACTCCTGCAGCACGATGGTCTGGTAGTTCCGATACTCGGTGAGAACCATGTTCACACGAAAAGGCCCCTTGCTATGGCAGCTGGGACAGATGCTCACCCGCTGCTCCTTATCCCCACGCTGATAGATTGGTCCGATGATGTAGCTGCAGCGGACGCAATCATATTTAACGGTGTGCATCTGTGGGTACACCGGCGAGCGGCGAATCACGACGCCTTGGACGCGAACAAGGACATTCATATGGATTTGGCGAAAATCACGAATCGGATCACAAAGCGGTAAATCGCAGATGCGCACAAAAATATTCGGATGAACCTTGCGGTAGTGTGGGTATTGCTTGAACGTAAAGTAATTCGCGGCCTCGTCAAAGAGTTCGATCATCAGGTCGGGTGCATCCACCAGCCACAGGGCCAGTACGCTGTCGTAGACCTTGCTTAAATGACCGTAGCTGAGCTGAAAGCTCTGTTCGTTCTCACGGGTCATATCGTTCAGGCGGAGTTCATACACGCTCACTCCGTTCTCAACGTAGTTGATGTAAAAATTATAAATTCGATTCTTCACGACACGACGAGGAAGCTCTTGGGCAAGCCACTCCACTAGATCACCCTGCGGATGGCGCCAGTCAAAATCCATAGACTCTAAATCACCACGGAGGTAAACCTTGTCATCCGGATTACCAATCTCGTCCGCATTCGGGTCGCCACGATGACCTGCCTCATGGTGACTATCCTCATCTGAGCCCTTGGCTCCACCATCTTCATTGCTATCGTGATCCAGCATTTCGTCGTCGTCCTCGAGAAAGGAATCATCATCATCATCATCTGCAAAAATGCCAGCTTGAAGACGGCTTTCCTCCTCCGCCAGGCGTCGCTCCATCATTTGGCGTCGCTCAATCAGCGTGTCCACAGCCTGACGGCCTGCCAAAGAGAGTTCGGAGACAGAACTATCATCATCTGCAATGAAATCATCGGCATCGACATCATCATCACCAGCTTCGCTCTCCTCATCAGGAGCTAAGTAGTCGCGCATATAATTTTCATCATACAAGTCCTCACCCTCCTCCTCACTGGAAGGAACCCCTTCGCTATCACTTTCCCTAAAGGGGCTGTGACTGCGAGCTCTCTTTCGATTCTCTCCAACGTTGCGCGCCTTGGGGGGCATGAGCCCCTTTCGTCTCTACCTTCTTGTGCTTTGGTCTATGAAAACAGGTAAAGGTATGTATGTCAATATCTATAGTTCTATAAAGAATAGAAAATCATAAATAAATATGAATATGTGTAGATTTATAAGGAAACGCTTGAAAATAACTCAGCATACGCTGAGAAAAGGAGGAAAGAAACTACGACAAAACGCATAAAGCCGTTACAACAACAATCTGGACGCATTGCGTATGTGCGAGAATATGAAGAGCCCCTGCGGTACAAATGTATGTAAAGGGAGGGGGATGAACAAAAAGACTGAAACACAAAACTAAGATCATTTATCATCTCGCCGAATTTTGAAAATCATCCGGTGAGGAAGTAGCAGAGAGAAATAAAAATCAAATTTTTAAATCTGTAAATCATAGAAACGACCTAAAAGTTAAGCACATATAAATAGATATACATATATATATATATATATCTACACATATAGCTTTCGTCTTCTGTTCTGACATAGAATGATGCAGAAAATAATAATAGCAATAATACGTGCAGAACTAAAAGGATGGAGGAAAGAAAAGATACCCCCCTTCGTCATCATACTTAAGATCCAGAATCCAACATAGGAAACGCTTTCATGGTCCTTCACTTTAGTTGCCGTCAACTTCTCCCAATATACTTTCATCCTCTGAAATCGGATGACTCATTGGTAGCGATTCACTGTATTGAGAGAGAATTCCAGACCCATAATCATCATTAGAAAGGATGAGGAAATCGTCCTCATTATCATATTGGCCCGTTTCCCTATCAGAAATGGCAATAGACTCCTCGGGCGAACAACTTTCAGCGTCCTCTTCGTTAGCCAGGAAGCTTCTGCCATGCCGTACCATTGGGCACTTAAGAAAAACACTACTTGTCAAGGCCTGCTTAACCTCCTTGTGCACAGGGGTTATTGTCTTCTTGAGACGGTATCCGTGAAATGGGCTTATTACAACCCACACAGTAGAACGGTAGCCCCGTTCGTATGCGCGCAGCTTTAGAAGTGTCTGGAGTGGGTCGACAAACAAGCGACCTTTAGTATCGATTGGCCGATAATTTCGTACCCATTCCTTAGTTTTCTGGCATATAAGAATCTCATCTAGATTAAAAAAAATGCTAGCTACAACTTTGCGATCGAATAAACCTATTCTGCAGAGTAATGAACTGTTCATAGATGAAATACCAGGTGCTCCTTGTTGGACGCTCCATCCTAACTCACGCAAGGTCCTATGCGTTACCCATTCATGGCTTTGATACCCATGAATCACCTGCAGCCTGGCGCATTGCGTCGCTGTTGTGCCAGGCAAATATTGGCCAGTAAAAAAGTTCGTCGGGTGTTTATAAAAGAGCGTAAGCCCGACCAAAGGCTCAGCTAGCTGAGCAAAATTGAACCAAGTTAAGTGCCTTAGCCACGTGTACTTGTCCCACAGCCCTATCGGAGTATAACCGTGTCTGAATCCCACCTCCTGAGCGCCTAGAGAGAGGTCATAGTCAACCAAGACCTTCGAGTGAATGAAGTGTGGGGTTGGAAAGCCGCACAAGATGCACTGCTTCCGCAGTTTCCCACGCAAATCGTCCGTAGACAGGTGTTTCTTTTCATCCTTCATGGATAAAAACTTGAAGAGACGGATATTATAGTACATCTCTACCGCTTTTTTGTATCGTATGTGTCTTTCCGAATCTAACATTGCGGTGTCCGCACCAGATAGTTCTCCGCGCAAAACACTTGGGGATGATGGCGACTTCGAGGCATCTACGCTAGAACCGTCTGTCTGCACACCTTCCCTCATTAATTGGCTTAGTAATGGAAATCCTCTTAACTTGTTCAGTGGCATCTTTATGCCACTCACGGCCAGGTTAGTCTCCATATAGTTGCAGAAAAAAGCATTTCCACCCTCAAACTGATCCGCGCAATAGAACTGGATCAAATCAAGGCCCCCAGAGAAGGCGTTGCAGAGGATAGGGGGGCTGTCGTGGGCGCGCTCAGGCAGGAGGCCGACCTGGTACAGCTCCTCAGCCTCCCTCATGGTTATCCACAGCCGAGAAACGTAACCATACTCCACCGTTCGCTGAATCATGAGGCGCCGAATGCCACTGGGAAAGGATTGGTTGGTGCGCGTGTGAGGCTTATAAAGAACGCACCATGTAGGGTTGAACTGGCCCGAATTAGGGAGTTCCTCCACGTTCTTGTAATGTTTCGTCTTGAAGTTCTTGACAGACTTGACCCAGTAATTCATCCGGTAACCCCTTTCTGACTGAATCTGAAGGAGCCGGCGCACGATGGACCCATTTAAAATGGGAGCACCTGTGATCGTGAGCGGGCACGCAGGGCGTAACGCAATATCATGTGACGGTTCAGATGAGTTTAGCTCGTTATGACTCTTAGAGCCATGATTTGCAGGAATTTCTTCAATCGGATAAGAACCCCTTAAAAATCTCTTTCCAGTCCAGCAATGTGAAACAACACCTCCATGTGGCAGGTCCGAAGCTCTACCCTCTCTCGACATCGGGGGAGGAACAATATATTCGTCAAAATGCTCCAAGAAAACAGGGTTAGATGTATGATCTGCGTTTATTAAGACGCGGTCGTCTCCCAAAGTCTGCGATACATCGAGATAGGAAGTCCAGAACGTGGCGGATACATCACAGAAGGCGGGAGAGGGCAAGATAGAAATACCGAAAGGCTTAAGGATAATTTCAAATGCCTTTCGTGGAACCCAAACATGGCTCTTGAGGCCGTGCTGCTGCGCAAAACTATAGAGTTTGTCATTGATTTCTTCAGGAAAGAGAGATCCCGTGAACAATTTTTGCTGCCGAATAGACCGAGCCAGAAAAGGCATTCGACGCATTAGCGATCAGTGCTCCCTGACCTGTAATGTCTAGGCAACTGAGTGTTGGTGCACGCAATTCAATACCAGAGACAAGAAAGACGTAAAATTCAAGGGATATGAAAAGTATCATAGCAGCTGAGATGATAAAACAGGTATTACCCATACTACAGCCCTTCTTTGATTTCCCTCTTCCTTAAGGTGTATTTTAGTCCTCGTAATTATGCTTGACTTACTCAAGATGGAAAACAATGAAAGGCCCTAGCTCCCTAGCATGCCTTATTAGCTCATATACAACAACATTCCACACACTGTGTAGCTCAAAACGTGAATTCGGTAATACATGAAAGGTATCCGAAGATTGTCTTACGATATAGCAAACGTCAGCGTGAAATCGACGTTATTGTTGCCGTCGGCACGTGCAGAAGGGTTTGCCCATAGGATGTAAACAGTCTAACTGGCAGCTGCAGCAGATGTGTGGGAGTCCGGTGGTGATGGGATATCGGGTGCTGTAGATTTGACAACATCTCCCTCTCCCACTTAGAATTCCGTAAAGGGCGCCACCACATCAGAATTTCTTGTTGAAAGCAAACTCGTCACTGAATGTATGGCACAAAAGTTACCCGCAAGTACTGTGTCTACTTTTCTTGATGGCTTCTATCCGATCACAGAAACATAACATATGGGCTACGGTAGCATATCTGCGCTGCCCAAGAAAGCACGGCATGTGATTCCACAAGATGGAGCCGTAGATCTCACTTTGCCCGAATCATCTGCATTTCAGTTTCTGCTAGGAAAAAATCGATCTGATCCAGAAAAGTATAAGTAGACAAATTCTATTGATGCATTCGTTTTAGGTTTGTCTTCGTTGATTATGAATAGCAATTTCCTTTGAATATCTATATTCTGGACCCATTTCTCAATCCAAAGAAAAAGAAAAAAAGAAATTATCTAGTGCTCTGTAGTACTAAATTGCTAAAAACGGAGCACTTAAAATACTCTTTCTTTACAAGGAAAGAAACGAAATGCTGGGCGCAATTCTCCAAGATACAAGATTAATCTTTATATCTTCGCATAAATATTTATGATATCCCCCTTAGGGATAAGAACATAGGATTGAAGGCAGTGAAATGCCGCACCACAATTCTGCTATAAGGAAACAGAAGTATGAAGATCCACAAAACAAGGAGTGTGCATTACACGGCAACCCACCCTTCGAAGGGGTGTTCAACAGGGAAAACAAAGAAAATTAGTACCTTGTACAAAGTATAGTCAGGCTTAATATGCGCATCTGAACTCACAAAGGCCGAAAGGAATTTGAAAGTTAATCTGATTGATATGTGTCTAATTTTAAATGTGTCACCCCAAATTAGGATAAAAATAGGTTAGATAAAAAGGAAATATAGAATCACTTTTCCCATTGATCAACAATTTATGGTTGATTCGTACTGAAGGTCCTTCTCCCTACACACAACGCCGGTTCCATCTATGGAAAAATGTTATTCGTTAAAGTGATGATTAGAGTGCTACTTTCCATAAGACCTATTCTGCGGGAGCTACACAGGAGTGCCCCTAGACTGGTAAACGCCAACGGTATCGTTTCCAGCATACATTAAACCCATTTCCTGTGGTAGCCATCGTCTCACCTCCCTGCGCACAGGATAATCTCGCACCAACTTGTAATGCATTTGAAGTAGTTGGTGAAAGCGCCAATCTCCGGTTGACGCGACGTCGCCAATGTAAATGACAACTCTCCCACCACGCTGCATGAAATACTCCAGTGCCTCGAAAGCCATCGAGCTTTGCTCATCTTTAGTGGATCCAAAAGGCGGCCAGCACAGGAGCAGTACTGTCCTCACGCAATCCATGGATAAGATTGAAAGAGGACCGCCAATCGATACATGAACACTGTAGGTCCTTCGAAGTGAAAGCTCATCGAAGGCATAAATAGGAATTATTTTTTTATTGTAAAAGCTAGTGTGCACACCAAAGAAGCTATTGGTTGAGAATTGACTTGGTTTCAATACATACTGAGTGCTATCGCCATCACTAGAAGGCAGGCCTACACCGGCGTTCATAACACGGTTGAAGATATGCTCGATGTAACCAGAGCCACTACCCATGCTAATGATGGCGCTCATGTCCGGAATCACCCTATATGCCGCTTCCACTGCATCTCGGACCTGCACTGGAGAAATTAAACTCCAAGAGAAAATTACATTTGCGATTCGGTGTGCCTCAAACGATAGTGGAACTTTGTACTCATCAGGGAGTCTCATACGATAATCATCGATTATATCCTTGAATCTCTGATAGTCGTCAGCTACCGAATCGAGAACGTGCTCGATAAGCCGAGTGATGTGAGGAAAGTAACAAGAAAAGGAACACATAGGGCAGTACCTATAGAAATACATTTTTCCTACCTCCGACAAGTAGTTTTCGCTAATTTCTGAATATCCGCAGACGTCACAGCACCAAAGAGGTTCATCCAGCTGGCGTTCTGCCTTCCTCACTAACAACTTGAACTCCCCCTCAGCAGAGCCTGTTCTTCGTGCCAAGGCTTTTGAACTGAACAGAGCCGGATGTGGCAGGTAGCACGCCTGACTGTAGGGACAAAAGCCGTAGGTCTCATAAACTGGACACACTTTAAGATTTGATGGCTTGATTGGAAGTAGCGGGTGCAGACACTCGCCTAACTGCGTCTGAAAGGGAGAAGGCCATGAGGCAAGAACGTGCTCAGATGACCGACGTTGGTTGGAAAACAAATACGAAATGTGGTAACTGAGTTGACAAACAGGACACTGGCAGGTATCACTTCCATAGTGGCATTCTCTCGCAAGAGAGGGTTGAGACGTGATCGTATTGTTAGGTGTGCTAGAACAACTGCTAGCATCTGAAGACATGGGCTCGTTATCAGATCTAATCGTTTGCGTTGTGAATCTTTCCGGAAGTGACTCTGATCCACTCAAAGCGTCACAGGGATGAAATGCATTAAATTTGCTACTCTCATCATTGTTAGCGCTATAATTTCCATCGGAAGACTCAGTATACATTGATATTGGAAGATTCGAAAGTGTTGTTGCTAAGAAAGGGCAGAACAGAAAGTTGTTCTTTATCTTCTTTTACACCCCTATCGGATCCAAGAGTGAAAATGTTGTGTAATTAGATAGATAACCTGCTTTTACTTTGAGATTAGTGTGACTATGATATAAAGATATTGAATACTAGGCTAACCCTTCTGTCCTAATAAAGAATAAAAAAACAGTTGATCAATACCTACTATCGTGTTATTTTGAAATCTTTATCTCTCACTCTCACAGACACGCACGCTGTTTGGCCCTCTATGAAGTGTGATATTAATATGATAATGTAGAAATATATACTAAGAGAAAAGTAATAGAAGCAGCTGAGTCAACAGATGGCAACCATTCTCAGACTTTGTGGGCGCAAATGATACGGTTTCATTGACCTCTTTGCTTCTTTATCGGCCCATATTTATTAAACATCTGCATTCTTTTCATTACTTTGTGACATATCTGGTCTTAGGGTATCCTTAATATATTTTTAACTAACAGCTAGGAAGAGCCTTTGAGACGTTTTCATTGCCGGGTAAAAATAAAAGAAGAATATAGCACGATAATAAATAGCATACATATACATGCATACATATACATAAATATATATATATATATACAGTATAATACACCCGCATGTACTAGAAACCACCAAGAAAAACCTTCCTTTATTCCTCAGTCACGAACCCCTTATTAAATTACACCATTCCATGCTATACTCTATATTGTTTCAAGAAAAAAAATACCAAATTTTTTAACGCTAAGACTGAGAAAACAAACAAAAGCGAAACTGCATTAGTCAGCAAAAATAGAGCTCCACAGAGAGAAAATGCTAAGAAATATCTCTCTCTAAAGCAAACGAAACATCCTTAAGGCCCTGTCTTCGAATGATTTGGTATGTATTTCATCATCCCTTTCCCGAGCATCCATGCATCTGTAATCATCAACGTAATGCTTATCTACTTCTACTTAATCTCAGCACCTTAAAACTCATCGCTAAAATTGCTGTTGTTATTGCTACTTTGGTTGTTACGGGAGCCGCGATTGTCATCGTTGCGTCGGAATGATCGATTACCACGGTTCATGCCTTGACCCTGCGGAGGACGCGCGCCTGAAGGGAGCTTGCCACCCCCAGGAGCGGTGACGTTTTCCGCACGGGTGCGTCCATCCTGCGAAGCAACCTCAAATTCGACCTCCTGATCGACTGAAAGGGCGCGGTAACCACCAGGTTCTGTTTGCAGGGCAGAAAAGTGGACGAAGTGCTGCTTTTTGTCTGCGTGGTCTTCAATGAATCCAAAGCCACGGCCACTCATCCAACTTACGACGTGGCCTTTATTCAGCAAAATAGCGCATGGGGACATGCGAGAAATTGCAGAGAAACGAAACATAGTTTGGAGTATGTCCTGTGATGTGTCTGATTTCTGATTTGTTATCGACTTCCTTAATGCGACTTAATATTGAAAAAATTCTGTGTTGCTGATTAAGCAGTAGTATTGGGTATAAAAAATGATAAATATCACACAAAGGGCTTGGCTTTAGTAAAAAAGGAAAGAGCAAAAAGAAAGGAAAGATGCACAAAGTACTCAAATGATCAAAAAAACTTTAAAGACATGGTTGTGATATTTTCCCGATTAAAATCAATGAGGTGAGGCAATACACTTAAAGGAATCTGATAATCTATCTTTTGTGACAGTGCGTGAGTCTCAGTTTGCATCTTTGAACACTTTATGGCTCTCAATAAAGCAGATTAGGGGATGAGAAAAGGGTAAACTATTTTTTTTGGTCATGAAAAATCATTGATCAAACGGTATCGCATCAATATCAGCGATGTGGCAGTCGCTCAATCTGTTTCCTCTAGTAAGAGGGCTCAACATTTCCATTACTGTATTGTTTTTAGGATCCTTCGTTGCATTGACAATATTATACGCATGATGACGCCAACGCTCCCATTCAGAAGCATCAAGACGATGCCCCTTCGTAAGAAAATCGGACGCGTTTTGGCAAGCTGAAAGAGGAAAAAATGAAGAAGAAAATGTATCCTCCGAACGAGAACACGAAAGGGTTGTTTTCCCCATATCTCGCTCGTGAACAAGCACCGTAACAACAAGAATAGGCAGTTCCATCATCGGAAGGTGCTGTAATCCGTCGTTGGTGTTGCCTCTACTTTGTGAGGACAGATTTGCATCACATGCTTCGACAAAAACTGACAACCCAACAGGAAGATATAACACCATCCTGTCGGTCGGGAACACTTTTAGCATAGAAGTGTCACATTCCACCAAGAAGGCCACCGCTGAAGCGTTGAACGGCACCAAAAATTGGTGCTTCAGATCTGAAGATGGGATCTCCTTTGGGCAGTGAATTCCTTGCATTATTTTAAGAAAATCATCATCATTGTGATAGCGTGGAATGGATTTCGTGGAGATGACTCCAGTTTGGAAATCAGTAGAAAATTGCGTAATAACGCCTCTGTAAATACTGCTCCGGAGTATCGAAACAGAACGCATGTATGGCCCTTTATCAATATATTTTGCACGTGTGCTTTATATTGTGATTACAGCTTCCATGTGAAATATGTTTTAATTCACTACATAGGAAAAACAGAGTAGGAAAAGTAGTTTAATAAAGAAAAGTTGAGTATACCTTTTCTATGAAAAACTAAATCTAGGTAATTCTTCAGTTGAGTTAAGGAATTCGTATGGACGAAACCCCTGAAAATGATTTTTTTAATAATATTCTTATTACTCATGGGATCGTTTCGGGATTTTCACCGCGAGAAAGACGAGAAAGGCGTTCCTTGGCTTTCAAAATATTGTGGCTGTAGCCTTGTTGCTTCGCCGTTGACACCACATTCCAAGGAATCTTTACCACTTTTGAGGCTACCCCAGGGCGGGCCATGAAATCAGAGCCCCGAACTGGTTTGGCTTTTGGTGCACGCTCATCTTCTTCAGAAAGATTACGAATATGATAAAACACGCCCTCCCCATCGAATGTGGCACGATGGCGATCCTCGTGAGATCGAAGAGGTCGTTGAAGACGGTGACGAGCATGGTGCCGCGGTATGTTATGGGTATCCTCATTGCCAGCTTTTAGGGTCCCCCCCTCAGCTGTTTTGGCAGCATTTGGAGTGCTGCCAGGCGCCCCATCATCAGACGCCTGCTCCGCTGAACCCTCAGCGGTAGCGCGTGATAGGTCCTGGCGTAACTTGGGAAGTTGCTCAAAGGTGTGTTTGTTGTCTTCGGGAAAGTACTTTGCTGTCCAATCCACGAGAGAAGAATCTAACGAATCCTCATCTTCTAATGCGCGCCGGCGCAGAAACGGAAACGCCGAGACCGGGCGTCTCCGCAGGTCACTCTCGGGAAGATCCAACATGGCAGGGGTATTTTCAAGGTTAGCCTCTTCTCCACGACGCCTGCGCAGCTCTTGCTCTTGCTGAGCGTAGAAATCCGTCTTCCCACGACCCGATTCCGGCGGTGAGCTCGATTTTAAATCCGCGGTGGAGGTCAAGGCGGTGGATGTGGAGTGGCCAAAAGATAACGAAGGTTTCAACTCTGGCGAATTCGTCTGCCCATCGCGCACCACACTGGAGGTTGCGTTGCGTTTGTTAGCCATGGGTTGTCGTGCCACCACGGCGGCCACCCACTCCCGAAGCGGACCGACGGAATGAAAAGCCCCAGAGACGACATGTGAGCGGTATTCACGAGCGGAAATCTCACACAGCCGCTGGTATTTCATGGCATCTTTCACCTCAAGTCTCGTGGCGGCACAGGTATCACGGAGGTAGTCCTGTAAAATGGCGACCAACTTTTCTCGTAGCGCATCATCGGCAACGTGATGCCACTCCTCGATCCGTCCATAAAGCCGCTCAGCATCGTCCAAGTAGGTTTTTTGTTTGAGCTCGAGCCAAGGGACGTCGGGAAGTGGACGATAACGGCCGTATTTAGTATCCCGTCGGAAATCCTCCCTCTCACGAAGCGTTTGTGGATCGGAGGAGCGACGCCGGTAGCTCGTGTGTGTGTTGTTTTCGTCTATTGGCGCTTTCCCTGCAAGCGGGGCATCCTTGTTGGTTGTGGAATAACGGAAGCCTGGATTGCGACATGCAACTAAAAAAAGAGGATACTTCCGTCCAAAGGTTAATATCACCCGCATTAGCTTGAGCTCCTTCCCATTCAGGATGAGAGAGGGGTGAAAGAAGGGGAAAGAGAGTGCTACGAAAACGAACAAAAAAAGATATGCATACAATTCAGCTAAATGCAGATCACCGTGTTGAGAAACTTTTCGGAAGAAAAATGTGCTTGTTAGGGGGAAAAAGATCTATAAAACTTTTAGTGTAGTGCCAACCGATTGAAAACTGTGTCTCATATTTAAAAAGACTTTTGAGTTTGAAAGCAATGAATAATGATGCCAATGAAGTGCATCATTCGGAAAGGAATATTCACAAACAGTTCAGAACAAACAGCTTATACCACGTTCTGCTTACTCGCAGAGTTAGCGTAATTCAAATTATTTTATCGGCCAACACGCTTCACCAAAATGTATATGTCGCTGTTGTAATGAATATCGCGCAAGCTCTGAAGTTTTCCAACAATCCGTGTTAGCAGCCCACCGCAGCTAATATGCACCTTTACATCCAAAGTGCTTTCATCAACTTCCAAGGCATATACGCGGCCGTGCATGGCATAGTCGCAATCATTCAACCGAGTTTCGCGGTGGTAAATACTGTGATCATAATGTTTTTTGGCGGTTACACCAGAAAGCTCCAATGAGTTGGCTAGCACAATGCTAAGACGCTCATTAAGTGATATAGGAAACTCTTCAGTGTTTACATCGGACGTTATAGTGAGTGTGCCAGTTTCATTTGTGCATTGGATGCGCGAAACACGTAGATACACACTTCCTTCAGTGTTAAATCCGGTTACTGTAAAAGTCTCCTCCAAAATGATAGGATTTGTGCTCATCTTTTATCGATTAATATTTATTACTCGTATTGTCTTTAATATTTATCTTCTATGTGACGTAGCTTTATCCAAATCCTTTCAAAATACACCAAAACACTTGATCAACACATCAAGATTACAAAACCATAGGCAATGCAAAGGTCTGATATAGAACAATATCTTCGGCAAGATAAACTACATTTTTTGTATATGAACTTATCTAAGCAATAGTAGGACCATCGCGTGTTGCCACTAAAGATGGATTGATAATTTACATGAAATTGTTAACCCCTCAGAGTCATACAATGTTGAATAATTCACCGAAGAAATTCCGGAGTCATTTTGAAGACCAAATCATTGTATACAACATTACCCTCCATGTCCAAATTGGACTTTAATTCCTCTGCAAACTCATTCATCTCTTCAACGCTCAATGTGTCACCCATAGTTGTTAAAAGGTAGCGAAGCTCATAGTGAGGAATAAAACCCTTGTACTCAGGGTCAAGGTCGCGAAACGCCTCGATAACTGATTCAGGATAAATGGGCCGCTCAAAAGAACGCATAAGAGAGTTGCAAAAGTCATTGAAATCAAAACTACCGCGTCCAGTCGGGTCGGCGATCGCTTTCAACTCATCAATATCAGCTTCTAGAGGAATGCCCCCACAGACACGAATCAGCGAAGGCAATAAATTTATTTCCACTCGTTGTATACCGTCTCGATCGAAATGATCAAATCTTTTCCGGAAATATTTCCGAGTCGCTTCTGAAATATTGAGCATTATTAGCTAAAAATCTAAACTTCAAAATGCTTTTTTCTCAGATTCCAGGCCCCTTTCTAAAAGGAACAAAAAGTACCGACGAGTTTATTAAAGGGAACTGGTTCATTAGCAGCGAAGCAAAATATGACTACATCTACAATCACAAAACTCGGCATTTATTGACAACACTATGCATTGTCTTATGATATTTTTAGGAATGATCAAGTATAGCAAAGGTGTTCTCATCCAAACCTTTCAAAGCTTGGGAAAAAATCCAGAACACACAAAGTATGGTCTTGCAACCGCTGTGCTCTTTTACCGAGAGATCCCTGGGGGAAAAAAATAAAGGAATAGAATTTAAACGCACGCCCCTTATTTCACTAAAGACCACAAGCCATCTGCTTGAATGACTCCAGCTTCAAAAAGTGGTTGCAACTCTTTGCCTAGAAAGGAAACAATGTCGCATGGCTTGTGATAATGCTTCTTATATGTAGCTTCCACGTATTTTATAGACTTATCGATTAGAATTAGCGGCAACTTACGTTCACTTAGGTTAACACCTTTGGAGAGATGATTGTGGCAGGTACGCATCAAAAACTGTTCTATTGTTTCTAATACTAAACGAAACGCAAACAAACCACTCACAAATTTCAATGCTAATATTTTTCCAAGATTCCAGGGAAGCTTTTCCAGATTGGATGATAAAATATTAAAAGGAATAGATTCATTCGTTCTAAATGTTTCCAAAACCCGAACCTCCAGATCATTTGTAAGAAAGTGAAAAGGCGCGTTGAATTGCCATCCTTTCTCAAAAGAGGCTGTCGAAGAATCGATGTCCTTGTTTGAGAATGGGATCAAAAATGCGTCTAAAAATTCATTTTTTATAACTTCTACAAGTTTTTCGGTCTTCGCTAAGCCTCTCCCGTTGTTTCTAAGGCAAAATTCACTTTCTAAGCTAATAAGCTTTTCGGGCTGAACAAACCCCTCCACATATGGAGCAATAAAAACTAGAAAAGGAAATGAGACGACCATATCCCGGGGGACTTCTACATCACGAACTTCTCGTGGGAAACTAACCGACAAAGAACCATTCGAACTAAAATGTTTCATATCAACTTCTCGGAGTATGGAGCAAAAGGCTCTTACCGTATCGTATATCTCTCTCATAAGCCCAGAGCAAGCAACATCTTTCAGCACTTTAAAGTAAAAGGAGTCATTGAACACAAGCATGGTGTCTGAAACATGAAGATTTGCAAAAATATCCGCACAATAAGTCTGCAAACTGCCTACAATTTCAGATACATGGACAAAGAAATTAGGTGCATCGGTATAATCCTCAGAGACTATTGCTTCAGTCACGTTAGATTCGACCTCCCGATAAACTAAAGCTAATGTTTCTGATGATGGTTGGGTGAGCGATATCACCAGACCGAGATATCGTCTTTCCTGTGAAAATTTGCTAATCTTCAACAAGAGGGGCAAGTGGAGGCGAATATAACCTAACAATTCCACGTCATTTTTTATCTGGAAGGCCACAAGTCGCGCAGAGAAGTCATCAACTATACGTTGACCACTTGTGGCTTCCCAAAGAAGCAATTGGCGCTGGAAGCCAACGTTTGGGTTGACAACCGGCCGAACCATTTGAATAAAGGACAGCGCCACATCGCTAGTAATGCCTGCACTTTTCATGAGATAGGCCGCTACAATCGAAGCTGAACGACTAACCCCAACCATACAATTCACAGCTACCGCATGGAGCTGCTCGTAGCTCCAATCAATTTCGTTTCTTTCCAGGAAAGTCCGGTTATTCATTAACAATCTAATTAGCGCACATGTGAGCGGAAAATGTTTTTCAATTGGATAGGTTGGCGTGTCAACAGCTGGAATGTTATGAATAAATATCTTATTTTTCGTTAAGTCTTTATCAGACAAATGGGATGTATACTCATTTAGTTCACAAACAAACTGGTCCAAATCTTTGATTTCTCGATACAGAAAAATATTCTGCACTTCATTGAACTCATAAACCGTATAGGAATCCATATTATTGCATGCGCACATGTTCAAGATTAGCGCGATGCCTCTTTCCATGGCTTTTTGCTTATTATGAAGCTCACATTGGCAAGTCAAATACAACCCTGGAATAATTTCACTAATGCACTTCCAAGGTATTGTGCCATCTGGCTCAGTGCTGTGGGTGCCAGGAATAAGAACTCCAGACTCTTTCCATGTGATTTTGTGGAGCAAATCCACCATTCACTATAGGTTAATAAATATGAGTGTATATTATATATATAAAGTTAGAAATTCAAACTGTTACTAAACTACTTGATTATGAAGCCAATAAAAATGTGTTGAATAGGGAATTATTACTTTTTTAGGGCAATAAAAAAGGAAGATATTCAAAATAATAAACTTTTTAGTTAAGTTTGCGTGAATAGGAAAAAAAATAAGGCGGCTAGCAAACAATCTCTAGATCGCAAAGAATGCTACAGGTAATCAATTTTATAGGAATTGAGACTACCACAAGACAGAAATTTTAGCGATTCACATCATTTCGAATCCATCCAAGAATATCCTTTGTCACCCTTGAAGCGGCATGCTGATTTTCGGCATTTTTGGCAGCTTTTATGCCAAATTTTTCGATAGTTTTTTTACGTTCGTGAAAACGCATTTTACTGAGTGCATTTCTTGCCTCAAACTGATTTGTTGCAGGGAAGTCAGAATCGATACCTTTCTTCCTTGAGACGTATGTGCTGCGCTTCGGTATTGGTGGTTTTTGGGTTAAAATGTGGAGTGAAGCGTTAGGATCATTAAAGTTCTCCAATAAACACTCCAGACCAAAGGCGTGTGCCTCTTGAACAAATAAAGTGGATTCCAGATCTAAATTACGCCCGATATTGTCTATTCCATATGGATCCTTTATAGCAAACTCAAAAAACGGTGGTTTGCCATTTGTGTTACTAAGCTCATTCCAGCCCATAGATTTTTTAGACAAATTCATATCGCTGGTGCACACGACATTCTGTGTGTAGTTGAAAATTTTGCCAAAGTACTCAAGAAATGAAGCAAGCAAAAACCCTACTTGTGCCATATCACCGTCTGTACTATATGCCAAGGGTTGATATTTTGGTGAGGCTTCTAGCAAATAAGGTCCACATGCATTATTTTCAGTTGAGACTATTGGAATTATACCAACTAGTGCCAAAAAGTGTACCAACATTACAGTTAATGCATAGCTTGCTAGAAGACCATCAATTGAGTTAATGGTCCCACATGCACGGCCCCATTTTTTTAATGTCAACAAGAGGTGACGTGAAAATGGGTACTTGGAAAGGGCTTCACCAAGGAGATATGAGTTTCGCAACCCCGTAGATGAAAGGCAGAAATCGAATGGGAAACGATAGATTTCAGGCCCATTCCGAGTGTCCACAGGAAGGCTCGCAAGAATATTCTCATTTTGAGATTTTAAATGCGGAAGGGCGTACATTAAGGAAGAAGTGGTGGGAAACCTTGCTGTAGCGAAATTGAACGTACTGCTCCACTCCACCTCCTTGGCACCATAATTTTCTTTCAGATAATTTGAAAATTCCTCCGCTTCAGTATTGTTAAGTTGACGAATAAACTGAAACACACCATCGCAAGAAAGACTATTAAATGGTGAGCCTGGGAAGCACTTACTAATTCGGTCGACTTTCACAACTGGCACACGCGCTTTCGGAAGACACCACGCTTTGAGGCCCAAATGACGCAACTCCCTTGCGACGCGTTTAACAATTTCAGAAGCTTCTTGAGTTCCAGGCTCAATATCAGATACACCAACAAAATCGACATCTCCACCAACTTCAAAGATTTTAAGAGTAACGAGGCCTCCAAAAATAAATACGTTCATATCGTATCCAATGGACTGAACAATAGATTCAAGTTGGTCACGTGCTAAGCAGCACTCATTGAAAGCTGCCTCTCCAGTATCACAGCTCTGTGCGACATCAACGACATTCTTACCTAATATCCTCCAATTCGGATCTTGAATTGACGGTAAATTGGATTTCCATGGAAGTGTAACAAATCTTGTGAAACATATCCTTCCTACATGCCGAAAATTTCTCATTATGGTTACTAAAGATAGATAGAATATGGGATAAAAAATCAGCATGTAAAAAAAGAAAGAGACAATGTATAAATGAACCTTAACTGAATATTTTCCATAATTACTTATTCATTTTATTTTTTAACAAAAAAAAATTGTGGGATCTAATAAACAAAATAAATAAAAAATGCAAGAATAATGTTAGCGCAATTTATTTCAAGCGATTCCATATCTTTTGAAGTTCACCAATAGCATCAGAATAATTGCCTCCAAACATATCGGCGACACCAGAAGAAAGACTCTGACCAGATTTTTCAAGGTTAAATCGAGGCAATATTTGCACTGTGTCATTGCTATCAAAAAGCGTTTCTAAAAATGCAATTCTTTTTGCTTGTAGAAACTCCGTGTTTAGACGAGAAAGGCTTGTATACTTTCCACCAATGGTTTCATTCAACGCATTTCGAATACTATTCGAATTATCAAGTGATTTTCTATTTGAAAAACGCAAAATTTTTGCTGTTTTCGTTACCTTTTCAGGAAATTCATTTCCTTTCAGAACGTCATCTATTTCGAATCGATTACTAATTTGTTCAGTATCATCGTGATGTGAGTTGGTTAGTGTTTGTGTGCGACTGCACGAAGCGGGCGGATGCCCATTCTGAGAAGATTGTTTTGATTCAATACTTGTCCTTAAGCTTTCTCCTGGCCCATTAGTTTTTTCAACTATTTCACGGTCTTCCAACACACAACTGATAATGGAGTTTGCTCCTTTCTCTTTACCATTTTGCTGAGATTCTTTTTGCTTATAATATAATGCTGCTAACATCTACCTAATATACTTTGAAATTTCAAATCGAACTGAATTGGAATATAGAATAAAAAAGATCGGGGAAAGTCACAGCCATGTCGGCAAAAAAATGATGAAGTCGCATAGCATCATTGGACTTGTCAACAGCATCTGATCTATAACTAAGTATTCCTTTTTGATCGATTGAGCAAAATAAAATACATGAACCTACCTTTATCACCATAAAAAAAAAATGCCACGCCCACCCAGCGAAATTGCTTCCCCTCCAATACTTTGCTTAGCCCGCAATTAAGACACTGAATTTTAATGGGGGGAATACGGGGGGGTGGAGGGGGGGGGGGAATTAAAAAAAAAATTCATACCCCCCTATTCCCCCCACCTACACACACACACTCCCTTAAAGGGAAAACAATCGTAAGCTGTGGGGATGCGAGCCAGCTACCTCGTGGAATGCAAGATGTAAAGTCTACTAGAGGGGGGGAAGGGGCCTGAAGGGACTTACCGCTAAATTTATGCCCCCAACGCGCGAGTTCCGCTGCCAGTAAATTACGGCTGAATAAGCTTTGCGTGGTCGTAAAAAATTTTACTCTTTCCTTTTGACAGTAAACGGAAGGGGGCACTTAATACTTTATATTAACTGCGGATTTGAGATGATAGAGGTTGACGTTACTTCCTAGTATTACTCCATCCCTTATTTCTTAAAATTAATCATATCACTTCTGGTTTATATAGAACGCAGTGTTAAATCGGAAAGGGGAATGATCACTGACATCGCTGATGAGTCATCAGGTACTTTACAGTTAGGTAAAAACAAGTCGCAATCTTTTTTTGTAGAGTTTCTTGTTGAAAGTTTTTTCGTACAACCTTCTAACCTTTTCCCTCCGTTCAGCTTATTAAATCCGACACTTCATTTAGATGGATTGAATACTCTTGTTCCGTCAATAGCGCAACGTGTTGGTAACCTTTGCCATGAATTGAGCCTCCTGCCAGACCGCTGTATTCAAATTGGCCCTCCGTTTAAAATAATTACCAAACCTATAAAAATTATTGCAAGTCTAGCTTATTTGACATACCTAGTTGTTTTCAAACACACGAGCCTAGAACTTGGGCCTGCATTATTTGATAAATGGTTCGGATTTTGTGTGGGCAAACAGAATGAGATGATTTCAAAGAGCTGGCTGATTGCTCAAGTGTATGTAAAGAAATTACCAAAAGCTGGATCTGTTCTACTTAATATGTTAGAACCACTTAACAAAAACACTTTTGATCGGTCTCTTCTTCGAATCTCCAATGAGTACTTGCAATTCTGCTCACCGTGTCAAAGGTCCTTTTATCAGACGAACTTTCTTTTTGTTGCATTTCAAACTGCACTTTCCTCACTTTGTTCGCTTAGTTCAGGAATTTTATTCTCGTTCGAGAAATCTTTTGAGCTTTTTGATGACTCGTTTTTGGACTCAAAAAAGATGTTACACAACCTACAACGTATTGCATTTCATTGTAACAATGCCGATGAACTAGGTGGAAATAAATTTTACTTCGAAAATTTGCTTGCCTGCACATCATCTGAGGCTATTGGTGTCTGTTTTTTCCTCGCTCTTAAGCAACGGTGTGGTAATCTTTTTAAGGCTCCCTTCTGGTCCTTCGAGGCTATTATTAAGTCATCTAATATCATGTCGTTGCTTTATCGTGATGTTTTAACATACTTTTGCATTTATTCTATTGGAAGAAGAAGAAGTCTAAGGCTTCTAGATGCACTGTCATTTTTCCTCTTTGGAAAGATCAACTTTTGCTTTGATAATACATTTTATAACAATCTATTAGACCCCAAAGAACCACCAAAGTATACACGTCGTTCTTACTCTAGTAAAGTTCTTATAAAGTCATCTACAACGGTGAACTGTAGTACTCCGATTTCTAGTGAAACTAAGACACATGGCAAACAGGAAATTACATCTCCTTTGAAATTTTCTGAGTGTGACTTTCGTTGCTTTAATGAACCGTGCACGTTAAACAGTGCAGTCAAACTTCTCTCTAGTGCTTATGATGTTTCAGATATCAGTGATAAAATTAATGATTGTGAAAACAATGATATTCTGAATAATATACTGGAAAAGACTCCTGATAATGACTTTCCAGTTAATGGTGTAGAGTTAGCAATACCTACGAGAGGAGATGATACTGATATTGATTTGTATTTGAGAAGCTGCTCCGAATTTGATAAAATGAATCGTGTATTTTACGCTATGAGTGAGTGAGGTTTCATTGCAGGATATTTTTCTCTTTTATTCTTTTTCGTCAAACTGCTGCTTGCGTACTCTTCTATGCATACATGTTTTATCCACACTTTATATATAAAAAAATTCCTTATAATTTTAAGGTGTAAAATACTGATTCATAATTAATAATAATATCGAAAATTGCGATAATTATATGTATGCATTCCTTATTATTGTTATTTATTTTATATCTTTTGCTTTTTTCTTCGAAAAAATCACATACTAGATACTTTAACTTCTCTACAAGGAAAATATTTCAATGCGTGCGTGTAGTATTTTTTTTCTGCAATTAACTGCACTTACCAAAGCACAAGTTTTGCAAGGGTCTAGTTCTTCAGAATTTGCTAATGTCAAGGGTTTTTATTCATCTTTATCGTATGATCATGAGTTTAAAGTAGTTGATGTCCCACATATGACTACAAAGCTGCTTCCCTTTCAGAAAGAGGGGGTAGGATGGATGGCTCATAGGGAAATCAATCATGTGGGTGGTATTATGGCCGATCATCTAGGAATGGGCAAGACAATACAAATGATAGGTCTTTGTTTGGTGTCAGACAATGTTAATCGACTTGTCATATCAAATAGAATGAAACGCCTTATAGTCGAGTCTGAGGGTTATCGATTGCTCACTATAGTTCATCAACTTCAAAAAATTAGCATTGTAGCAAATTGCTCCCGGCTGAATCGGCCAGCAGAGGATCTGAATATTATCGCTTCACAGATTAGGAATGCGATCTCGGATAAATCCAAACCTTGCGTTTTTTCAAACATAAGGAAGGAAATGGACAAGTGGCTTGATTTCACTGCGAAGTTTCATCCTTCTTATCAAAAAAGGGCTAAGTCTTTTCTTGACGATGAGGAAAAACGTGATTTTGAGGATATTCAGTCGAAAGAGCTTCGTACTCTTGTAGTGGTTCCCGCAGCGCTCATGTTTCAGTGGCAGAGTGAAATTAATTCTAAGGTTGACCCATCACGTGAATTAAGAGTTTACCTGTATCATGGGGATAACAAATGGGTAAGCAGCACGGAACTGGAAACCTATGATTTTGTAATTACAACGTATGATACACTAACACACTCAGCGCAGAATGCCTTTATACCAGGAGATGACCCAAAAAGCTTTGCGTTTAGTCGAAAGGAGGCTGGACCTCTGTTTCATATCACTTGGAAGCGAGTGATTTTGGATGAGGCTCATATGATTAGGCATAGTAAGACCTTTCGCTGGAGAGCAGTGAGGGAAATTCGTGGTGTTCATCGATGGGTAGTTACAGCAACTCCTCTACACAACTCAATACAAGATTTACAAAATCTGCTGCATTTTGTAGGACTATCCAAACTCCCCTTGTTGCCCGGATCAAATGCCGAGGATCTTCTTAATGATCCGTCTCTCCAGCGCAGTATCGCGCGCTCACTTCAGTCAGCCTTTTTACGTAGAGGCCCTGTCATGATTCGGAATGGCGTCAGGGAAGTTCTTGTGCAGTTGCCACCGAAGCGGGAGGTAATTGTGAAGCAACCTTTCACGGTCAAAGAATCGCAAATGTACAATAGCATCTTGGCCCGGTCAAGAAGTGCGTTATCTTCTTCAGAATACCAGGAAGGTTCATTTCATATCTTTGCAATGATGACTAGGTTAAGACAAGCATGTTGTCACCCCTGGATCAGCCAAGGAAAGGCTGTGCAAGTGTCAGTTTGCGGATTGTGCAACACAGAAGCATCTGGATCTGTCATGACGAAATGTGGCCACTCTTTTTGCTATGAATGTCTCATGCTCCGGTTTCGTGAAGTGGTAGATGGCGATAATGTTGCCAATCGATTACCGTGCCCCACATGTGGAGCTGCTGTTTCGTATGATTCGGTTTTTAGAAAGGTTACCCAAAGTTCAGCTGAGCGGATTGCTCGATACAGACGAACTGAGTTTGAGCTGAGTACAAAGCTTGAAATGATTCTTAAAGCATTTGAAAACATGCAATCAAAGTTCCCAGAGGATAAAATGATTATTTTCTCGCATTTCACGTCCTTTATAGATGTCATCAGTGTGGGTCTGGAGCGCTACGGGATTGAATTTATGAGAATTGATGGCACCATGACTCTTACCAATCGAAACATTACCATTCAAGCATTTCAAACGAATCCAAACGTGAAGCTAATTCTCGCGAGCAAAACTGCTACAGGGGTAGGTCTGAACTTGACGGCCGCGAATCATGTGCTGGTAGTTGATCCATGGTGGAATCCGGCCATTGAGGAGCAGGCGGTGCATCGTTGCTATCGTATTGGTCAGAAAAAACCTGTCTATGTGTCTCGGTTTATCATATCGGATACCATCGAGCAGTACTGCTACGAAATTTGCCAGAAGAAAAAAGAATTTGGGGATGCTATATTGCGTGCGGCAACCTCAGGTGATTCAGGTGCAAAGATGGCGGCCTCAAAGCTTCAAGAACTCGTTGCGCGATTGAAATATGTCGATGAGAAGGACTGTACAACCACTGATAATCTCACTGCCGGTAAGATAAAACCAGTAACAGAAGAAGAAGAAGCCTCCAGCGCAGGCCATTCTGAAGGAGTCCTAATAACAAGGATTTAACACCTGCCCATACGATTCTTATGACTGATATCATAACCATTGAGCAGAAATGTCATGGCATAGTACTATTTTCCAGCGGAGAGTTTCTTATGGCTCTTTTCATGTGCCTCTTGTACTAAAATTGAAGCAAGCCATAGGGAGGGGGGGGGGAGGGGGAAATAGTGAAGCATCTTGCAACAAGATACGATAAGCTTATTTCGCTGACTTTTAAAAATCTTTTTATCCCTGTCCGCATCTTAACATTTGATAAAGACTCTCAAGGCTTCTTAATTCAGCTATTGGTTTGCACTTTCTGTGCAAAAAAAAAGAGTAAGACGGTGTTCTTCATTAGCAATAAGATAAATTCAAAAAGGAAGAAATGATGGAGCGATACTCTGCTCTAATTACGTATCTCCACATCCAGAGCTAATTGCTCCCCGGAACTTTTTAATATTTGACAGGAGTGTTTCTGCCCTCTACCGTCAATTCATTTGTTATTTGACGCGTCATCGTCAAATGAAGCGTTTACAATATGTATCAATGGCAACAAAGTATGTCGGGGTGGATCATCAAACCCCTTCTCTGCACGAAGGTTGCAGAAAATTACTGTTCACGGAGTGTTTCAAAATAGTAATTGCAATGTGTCATTGGTGAACTATTTCGCCATCCTGATGATCAGAGGGTGGTTGATCTTCTTTGAATGGACCATGCGTTATACAATCACTTAACTCATTGCCAATACTTCCTTCACAAGTTTCTATACGGAAAATTGTACATGTGTTTACAGTCAAACTGCGTATGGTAAAGGATGTATTTGCCGCTCAAAAGGAAATCAATCCTCCTTCAGGGACAAATACAACTCAGGTTGGAAAACGAAGCTAAATATACAATGTCAACTCGATAGTTTTCAAAGGGAAATTGATCAGTTAAATGCAGTGTGTATTGAACATGAGATTCTAAAAAAAGGCTTTTTGATGAAGCTTAAAATTGCAAATTAAACACGGGAGGAATCACCACCTTTCGTAATGGATAAAATATGGATGCTCTTTTTATTTGATCTCCTTGCTCATGATTGTATGAACTCTGTGTTTATACTAAGACGTAAATGTGCTGTGGAAAGCAGTCCTTTTTCTCGCTTCATCCAATCGTCTCTTGTAAATAACTGCTCACACCACTTTTATCTTTCTATATGCAGAAATGAAATAACTTGTTTTCAATAGTTCTTCTTTTTTTTGTTCGTTTGGGCTGCTTCTCTTTGGCTGTTTTTCTTTTCAAAAGTACGTTCTCAACAATTTTGCGGATCCTTCGGAACCATTACAAAGGGATAAAAAGAAAAAATATACGAACTTCTGCAATGGATACTTCACAAAAATGCAATGATGGTGCCTTTTTCTATTCTACTCGTACTATTGACACATTGAAAGGTCAAGACTCCCTGCGTGAGGTACTTGAAAGACGGGCAAGAGAGGGGTTCGCCACTAGTGCGTACTGGGGAACGACGGGTGAGGTACCTCCACGTGAAGCGGACGATGTCGTCAATCACAACACATTTCGTTTTTCTAGTGAACTAGGGCGAAAACTGGTTCCCTTTCCAAAGGAACAGACCAGCCTTCCACGAATGCTAGACGCTACATTGAAAGGTTTCCACATCACTTCGAAACCGGATGGATCCTTTCTTGAGCCAGATAAGCTGATGAATGACGCACAGTTGCAAAAGCTGAAAGAGGGGGATGTGAATGCGGAAGATACACCTGATGGAATTAGGGTGAAGCCACGTTTCTTGAATACCGTTTCAACTGCGCATCGACTGCCCTCTGGCTTTAGCGGCGATGTCATGGATGCTTTCCGTGAAGGTCAAATGAAAGAGAATGACCTTCAACAAAGGCTTTCAGAGCTCAAAAAACAACCTTGTAGGTCAACCGAACCCGATGGCTATCGGCTCACTTCCGAGGATTACTGTGATATGTCTAAAATTGACCCTTCCTCTTATAGAGTAATGGAGAAGAATCCGGAGGATCCCAGTACCGAATTGGAAGTTTATCGAAGCCGGTACAACAATGTCGAGCGCGAGGGCCCGAAACGACGTGAACATACCTTCCAAGTTCTACAAAAAGAACGAAATGTGAATGTAGATGAGCTTCGCAGCACGCTTTCTAAAAAATTAGGAGACAGTCTACCGCGAGGATATGCCCCTTATTCAGCCAAAGAGTGGATGAGCACTACACATCGCGAGCATGCCGCCTACGACCCTACCAGGGCTGAGAAAATGAACGATTCGTATGCAACATGCCCTCTGCGCAACACTAATTATGCTCTATCAGAGGAATTTAGAAATTCTTTGACTCAACAAAAAGAGCGATTTGATCGTCGATACGATGGTGCATTCGCAACTGAGTACGCAGACAACTACCAGGACCGTTTCGATCCATCTAAAGTAAACAAGGATCATGGTGTCAAAAAGGTATTCGACATCCGAAATGGAATTTACACAATCAATCATGTATACCATCATCCCCGCAGTGATGTTACAACGGGCGAGACGTATGCGCCTTCAGAACTCGTTCCGGGCCAGTACACAACCATGTCAAAGGAATCTCTTCGCGCACGAAATACCGTAGACAGAGTTAGATGTTAAGCGAGGGAAGCTTACTTATCTTTAAAAATATGCATTGGATTCTCGATTTGTTAGAATTGCATGTAAATTGTGTATTTATAAGGGAACACAGTGTAGATATGTAGATATTTTTATCCCTACCCGTACCCACACAAATTATTGACTATACGATCAAATCTGTAGTAATAGCTTTCTTTTTTTCAAATAATGACAAATAACAGAGTCGAGTATTTTTGTTTGTTTTAGGGGTTGCGTGTTGCGATGGTACCCTGGCAACTCCCTGATGAAAGGTCGACTGGTATTATGAATAATTTTTTAAATATCCCCAATATATTTATGCCTTTACTTATATACCTGTACATAATCTATTTATACATATTGAGGTGTTACCAATTATGTTCTCCTGTACCACCACGCTTTTGCGGAAGTCAATACAGGCTTATCCTGTTCCGCCCAAGACACGGCTGTACAGCCGCCGTTGGAGCACCTCCCGAACGAACCCCTACGGTCGCATGTACTGGCGCACGTTGATGAACGAGGACCACGCCCGACCCTCCTTTTGGGTCTCCGACTTCCGCCATCGCTACCTCGCGCGGACGGGGACGGACTACCAGGGCAGGGTCCCCGCCTCCCCCGCCCCGGGCACCTACCAGGGCTTCACTGACGTCCACCGCATCCTCGCGAACCAGCCGCGGCCGCAGCGCGAGTCTCGCCACCTCCCTGTGATGCCCATGACCCCTCGCGTCGTATACGAGCACCTCCAGGAGAAACGAATAGATTTTGCGAAGAAGATGCGACGGGATCGAAGCCGCGTTCAGCAACTCAAGGAGACGGAGTTCTGGGGATGGTATATGAAGCTCCAGCGCGTGCGTGGGCGTTGGTGCCGCGAGCAAGGGGTATCTAGTCGTGGGGTTTACGGGCCTGCTGTCGACGCTGCTGAGTTGTGGGGATAGGGGCCGCGTGCCTGGACTCTTTGCTTCTTTTTTATTATTTTCGCAGAGTTTAGTCCGTTTATCGGTTTATATGATCTCCTGTAGGGGTGTCTTGCATTGGGAGGAACCTTTACACTTGTTGTCCCTCTGTGGAGGAGTGCTGTTAGTTATGTGACATGTATGCCCATATATTGTGGAGTAAAGTCTCTTGATTCTTGCTTCTTTAGCAACCAATATTATTGGAAGCACCAATTAAATATCATTTTTTTCATTGCTTTGTCTTTATTATAAAGGTTGCACGCTTTGTTGAATTTTAAGAGGACGGAAACCACATACAAGAAGGACTACCAACTCAAAGCAAGCGTTAAGAAAATGGCAAAAAAGGAAGGAAATAGGAAGCGCTTAAGAGATAAAGCTCCGAAGATGGTGGAGGATCTCGATCTGGAAGTCAGCGATATTGAGAGCATAGATCAATTCAATGATGAGGACATTGTCCATAATAGGGAGAGAAAGAAGACGTCTCGGAATGATAACGATGAGGAAACCATTCCCGCTGTGATGCCGTCGGATGCACACCGTCTGGACGGTTTAAGTGATGAGGAGCACGGTGGCTATCTTGAAGAGGAAGAAATGGCAAGGGCGACGGAGCGAAGCATGCGTAAAAAGGCGACCGATGAAGATTTTACAATATCCGGACTTTCTCTTGCTTCGACCGCAAAGGCTGCAAAGCGGAATAAGGAGTCGTCAGCGAAAAATGACGTACTGGATGCAGTACCGGCGGTTGAAGCAGTAGAACGTGATTTTGCTCTGCTTACTACTAGTGAACGCTTGAGAATTCTAAAAAAAGAGTCTCCTGAGTTGCTCAATATGCTTGAGGATTTGAAAAAGTATCTTTCAGAAGTCAAGGCGCTCGCCAAACCTCTACACGAGTTGTTATACGAGCGAAAAGTATCCGAGGCTGATAAAAATTTTGTTACTTTTCTCGAGACCAAAGTTCAACTAATGCTTAGCTATTGCATGCACGTCACCTTTTATTTGCTTCTTAAATCGGAAGGCAAAAAAGTAGCCGGGCATCCAGTGGTTGACAACTTGGTAGAAATTCGAGTCTACCTGGAGAAGATGTGGCCTTTGGAGGAGAAGCTACAATACTCACTGAATCGCTTGCTTAGCGGCAAGACCGCGTCCGCAGCTCACGTGGATGAGCTCCGACCGCTACAAGGCAGTGATAGTGGCGTGTACGAAGCTACACGCAGCACGCGGGATACTGAGGCTCGTGAGCATCGACGTCATATGAGGAATATGAAGGAAGCCGACGATCTGGAAAAGGAGGAATTAGCGGCCATGACGCGTGTGCGCACCAAGAAGGCTTCGTTCCTAAACAACGTACAGCCCAGTTCCAAGGTGGCCCCCTTGTCTTACCAAGAGGACGAGGATCAATATTTCACCAAGCTGCAGGGCAGTCTCCACGACGAGGATGACGAGGACGCCGGGCTGTCGCTCATGGACGCGCTTCGCAAGCGTCAGCAGGCGGCCAAGGCGTTGGAGGCCGCAGCCAGCGCTCCCAAGGACCCCGAACCGGAGCATGCCTCGGATGATGAGGAGGATATGCTCGAGCTCGATGGCGAATCCGATGTGGCACCTGCAGAGGATGACGTTTCGGTGGACGAGGAAGACTACGAGGCGCTTTTCGAGGAGGAAAAGGCGCGGGAGCGGGATCGTGCGGCCTCCGCCGCGACCCCCCGCGAGCCGCTCCACGCCGACGAGGTGGATCGTCGGAAGGCGGGCAAGCGGATCGAATCCCACCGCGGCCTCACCAAAGCGCGGCCGAAGGATCGCAAGACACCGAGGGTCGCACAGCGCCGCAAGTACGAGCGCGGCCTCCGCGTTCACAAGGCGCAGGCCCCGACCTACCAGCCCGAGCCCGAGAAAGGCTTCGTTGGGGTGCGGGCAATCAAACCCGGCGTGCTGCGCGGGCGCAAACTTCAGTAGGGGTGTGGGCGGGGAGCTGCCGCGAAGGGCGTGGGCTTTTCCTCCTACCACTTGGTTGGGGTTCGTTCTTCTTTTCGTTGGTTATTGTTGTTGTTTTCTCTTTTCGGGAAGGTCTCATTTATCTTCCGCGGCTTTGTGTTCTGAAGTAAAAGTAATCGTAATTTAAATGCTAAAGAAGAAATTAAGGAAGTCTTCGTACGTTGCGTTAAACGACACTATAAAATGAGGACTATCTAATCGGATAAACTTGTCTTACCAAATTAAAAGAGTAGGGATCCCTCTCCAAAATATCCTATTGGATCATTTTCAAAGTGTTGGAGAGGGAGCTTTTTTATGAATTATCATATGAAATTCAACAATTACTAGCATACTGCCTTCATTATTCTTTCCTCTCCCTCTGCACATATTCCTGTAAAACTGGTCGGTTTATCTGTAATTAGCCGCGAAGTGCTGCTTCGAAGTCTATATTAAAGAAGGCAGGTTTAACTTGCAGTGTGCTACTTGTTGAATCGACTGCGTTGATACAAATAGGTGCATACATCGACTCATTTATCCTCAATAGAAGCATGTCTCGCCTGCGTGAGCACAAGAACGATGTTATTGTTCGCATGACCAATATCCTGAGGGAGGAGCGCGGCCGTATTTCCTTCCAAAGACATCCTTTTCGCACCCTCTACCTGTTTATACGCTATATTGGAAGCTTGATGAGGCAAACCTCAATCTACCTCATATGTAATCCGCTAGTCTACTGCATCTTCCTCCCTCTCATTACGTGCTTCTTGACCTTTTCTCTATATGGGTATCCCTCTCTCACGTCGCATATTTTCACAGTTTTAGATATCGAGCATCGCGGACAAATCACTGAGGAGGACCTAGAGAGGTACTATTTTCATGTGTTGGGTTGGAAAGCCGGTGCAGGCCACCAAGCAGCTTCCACTTTTCCGGAAGGCTTAAAGGTACTCACAGCTCCGCAGTTCGAAAGGTGGTGGAGCAGCACTAAAGATCTGTATCGACAGGACGCATATTTTAGCCACGGATGGTGGCGGGAAGTGGAGTACTACCTCGCGGATACCATATACTGGGTGGGTCTCGGGATTTTGTCCTCCGCAGGGTTCGGCACGGGTATTCACTCTGGACTTCTATTTCTATTTCCGCACATTTACCTCACCTGTAGGGCTGTGTCAACGTGTATGAATACCAACTTTTGGAATTATCCCGTAAACCCATTTTATGGTCCCCGTGAGCGGGTATTCATGTGCCTTTCCCCTGCCATAGAAGGCACCGAGGCATTCTCCGTTTCCATACTGGCATCTGTGCTCAAGGTGCTTCCAGCCTGTATAGCGTGGGGGTTCGGTACGGCTCTCGGTGAGATGCCCCCTTATCTCCTAAGCTACGCTGCAGCAAAACAGGGAAGAAAGCAACATGAGCTCGATCAGGCTTCATCATATAATATACTAAACCGTATGAAGGAGTGGACTCTGCGCAATATTCAGCGTTATGGCTTCTTTGCGGTGCTTTTATTAGCGGCGTGGCCGAACATGGCATTCGACCTGTGCGGCATGGCCTGTGGGCAGTTCTTAATGCCCTTTTGGTCATTCTTCATGGCCACTGTGATTGGGAAAGCTTTGATTAAAGTAACCCTTCAGTCATTTTTCTTTGTCACGCTTTTTTCGGGCAATAACGTGGAGAATTTGATTTTTTGGTTAGGCAACTCACTAACCTACATGCTACCTGCAAGATTCCGCGTGAAGGATGTGGTAAATAAAGCCGTTGTTGCCGTTGTCAAGGCTCGCGAAAGCATTGCAAATCGTGCCAAGGGCCACATGACTTTGGAAGATGAAGCAACCACCTCTCAGGAAGAATCACCCATCCTTATGTTTTTTAACACATTTGTTCTATTGGCCGTGGCATTATTTGCAAAGTCCATTATCGAGTCCTTCGCGATTACTGTACAGGAAAAGGATGATGAAAAGCTGCTAGCGACGGTCAGGGGGCAATTGAAGGGGGAGCTTTCCGCCTTGGGAGCCTTAAACTTTACTGACGAAGAGCTGCGTCGCCTTCTGTATGATGTTAAGAGCGGAAGTTTTCCAACAGTTGTGAGTCTAATCTCCAAAATTCAAAATCCTGAACTGAGGTGCTCTTCGACATTTTGAGCCTCTTTTTCCAATCGCAACATGTTGCTGTGCGTTGAAATCTGCATCTCGTCGTTGATCATTTCCTTGGAGGCGGCACATTCGGGAATTTGGATTGAGCCAGTTCTGGGATCCTTGTTGCTGTTTTACACCTTGTTGCGGCGCGATCTGCCGACCAACTCTATCAGCGATTGGGTTCCTTAGATTACCCTGTGTTGATGTATATCTCAGCACTACACGCAAATGTTCATTGCGAATAGTTTAGATCATACAAACGATATAAACTACTCTATTACTATAATGCCATATTTATGCTTGATTTAGTTGTAATACTCGCATGTGCATTCTTTTCATTGTTGTCTTTTAGACTATCTGAATAAAAAAGAAATAAACACTTTATCAAATTTAAACAAATTTCTAGTTGTTGTCTGCAACTAGTCATTGTTAAACTTATATTATTTTCTATCTATATATTTTCTCGAATTTATAGAGTTGTTTACCGGCGAAAATCTTAGTTTTATGCTGAAGTTCTTTGAATAGTAAACGAAACAAGAAGAGGAATGATGGATTGTCAATCCCTACTTGATGGGCTAGCAAAAGAGCGGGGGTTATCTCTCACTCCTCTTGCTCGCATGTGTAAGTACCCGCGTTCGCGCAAGATTGTGTGTTGTGGAGGACTTGTAGTACGTGTCGAGTCGGAAAGCTCCGCAGACTCCACGGTCTGCATACAAGATGGAAGTGGTCTCTGCTTCTGCGCGATCCACGGTGATATAACGAGCCGGTATCCCGATGTGCTCTCGACCGGGGCCGTGTTGCTTTTTCACGACGTCACGCTATTGGTGACGGGAGGAAGAATGCCCCCGTTGCTGATCGTGTGTTTAGAAAATCTCTTCGGATTGTTGCTTCCAGACGTACCGGAGCAGCCTCTCGCGCCGCCGAAGGCGTTGGAGCAGTCCATGGACATCGACAGCAAGAACGCGACACCTCAAGATCAAATGTGCGGAACGGAGGATGCTGCCTTAGGGGACTCTGCGAGACGCAAGCAGTGTGCAACCTACCTCGCCGCTGCTACCACCTCTCCTTTAGGGGGCAGTGGAATACCTCAAACTAAGGGGCCTGAGCGTCTAGCTCATACAAATGACCCTAGGCAAACGGGTTTATTTGGCATGCATGAACCTGTTGTGTATGATGACGATGATGAGAACTGCTTGGAGCTGGTTGATGACTTGTAAACTCTGAAAACAGAAACAGGGCTTCTCTTCTTCAAGAATTCTGCGAGGCTATATGACAATATCCCACTGAAAATAGAATACTTCTTTATCTATCATCGCAATATTGTTCGAGTGAAGTAGACGATGGCATTACATATTGTGTTAACGCTTTTTCATCACGCTGTCGACTTGGAGCGACGATAATGAACCCAATTCTCTGCTATATACCATTTCAGCTTATCTTGTTTAAATCTCATTTTTCCCCTTTTGGCGTTAGAATGACCTTTGTTTTTTTTTTCTGTTTTTGAATGTGCACCTTTCAGTTAATTCTTTTTCCCACTCATTTGTGATACAATTTCAAAAGGGCCGTGTTTATGAGTCTTCCACAAAAAGGAAAAGTAATAATACTTTCATTCACGGAAAAGTGAAATCAGATTAGTATTTTTGTTCTCATATTTCCGTTCCCTTGATTCTAACGAGTTGTATTCCACGTGAATACACTGGTGGAACAGGGAAGTATTTCACACACATTTATATATATACAGATATATATATATATATTTGCTATAGTTGATGCGATCATCATCACCAAACACTCCCGCGAAGAAAAGAAATCGTCTCGATAGGGGTCGCACGGGGATTGCGCCGTCCTCACTCGATGGCGTGGCCGCCGCGCACGCGAACGACGACTCCGTCGACCATGCTCCCGCCGCAGATCGCATCGTGGTGCTCAACGTTGGGGGCACCATCGTGACGACGCTCGAATCCACTCTGCGGGTGTGTTCCTCTCACTTCACAGAATGGCTGGATAACGACTTCCATGGCTTTCCACGTGATAAACAAGGCCGTCCTTTTCTCGACCGCGACGCGAATAACCTTCGCCACATCCTTAATTACATGCGGGGGTATGGGTTACCCTCAAAGGCGGACGATGTCGTGCTGCTCGCGGAGGACGCCGTCTTCTTCGACATCCCCGCCCTGAAGGAGGAAATCGGGCTGACGAGTTCGCCGGTTTGGCGTTTCACGCCGGGCCCCGGCGTGAACGACAACGGTACGCAGTTCTCCACCGCGGATATCCTCGCCCTCTGCGGGATGCGTCCTCTGACGCCTCGCCACACCCACACCGTGGGCTTTCGCATCGACAAATGCGAGCTGATCTCGATCGGCCTCATCGCGATTGATCACGCGCGCACGGATCAGCAGCTCTTTCGCCAACGGCAGTCCGTTTCGTACTCGAGTACAGGCGAAATAGTGCGGTTTTGGGGGGATGAGCCACTTTACGACTCGGGAACGCCTTTTAAGGCGTCCGATCTCATCACCGTGCAGGTTCAGCTGCTGCACCCGCCATGCCCAAATAGCTCCTTGCCACTCCCACTCACCACGGGACCGAGCCGCGCGCCGTTTTTAGACATCGCGAGCAGCTCCTTCAGCATCACAACGGTGATCGAGCGAAACTCCCCAAGTCGGGGTAATCTGCAGACCGAAGACGCCGATGCCCTCTTCTCAGAAAATAGACTCCATGGCAGCCGAAATGATGCAACCTCTACGGATAGCCTAGAAGCTAACCTAGCCCATGCGGAGCGGAGTTCGCCAGCGAGCCCATCGGAATGGCCAAGTAATAATCTGATCGGCGCCATCATAATCTTCAAAATACGAAGCAAAGACACTTTTGAAGTGCGGTGGCCGGCGCCAGTACCGCCGCTTCAGTTTGCTGTCAGTATGCAAGGTAGTTCATCCGTTTCGATAATTAACTCCAAGACTCACTCGAATCCAACGAATGAATTAGCTGAGTGCGAAAGTATACGTCCCTCCTCACGTTTAGGGCTCGATACTCATACAATACTTGAAGAGGGAACTGCTACGCCCCTACCATAAAAAAGAAAGAACGAGTGGTGCAGTGACGTGAAAATAGAAAGCCAATGTTAGCAGCAACACAGAGGAATCACCAAAATAGAGAAACAATTGATGCTCAAGAACTTGGTGAAACGACTTTTATGATCTTTATCCATTTCCATCTACCTCACATTCTTGATGAAAGTATATATTTTTTCAATGAGTGGTCGATAGTTTAGTACTTATTGCTTACTGTACCACATGTATCATTGTTTCTTTGGCCATCATACCATGTTGTGATGATGGGCGATATTTATGTTGTCTGTGCTCCAGTTTTTTTTTTTCGTTAAGATCCCATTAGTTTTTCAAGTATTGTTTTGGGTGTCAGGGTCTTTGTTTTCCCCTATCTCTTTCTGTCAAAAAGCTATTCCATCATTTTCGAGTTTATTCCATCTTCACTTTATATTAATATTAGTATTAATATAATTCAAAATACATAATATCAATATAAATTAATATACTGCAATGTCACTCGATGTCGACGCGATCATCGAGAAGCTTTTGGAGGTGCGGGGCACCAAGCCTGGAAAGCAAGTTCAGCTAGAGGAGAACGATGTTAAGAATCTCGCCCTGAAAAGCCGTGAGATCCTCTTAGCTCAGCCCCCACTTCTGGAACTAGAGGCTCCTATCAAAATATGCGGTGATATTCATGGTCAGTACTACGACCTCATCCGTCTCTTCGAGAGCGGTGGGTTTCCACCCACGGCAAATTATCTCTTCCTCGGCGACTACGTCGACCGAGGCAAGCAAGGTTTGGAGACTATCTGCCTAGTTCTCGCGTTCAAAGTAAAATTTCCAGAGAACTTCTTCATCCTGCGCGGCAATCATGAATGCGCCAGCATCAACCGTATTTACGGTTTCTTCGATGAATGCAAGCGTCGCTTCAACATTCGACTTTGGAAGGCCTTCACCGATACTTTCAATTGCCTTCCCGTGGCGTGCATTATTGACGACAAGATCTTCTGTTGCCATGGTGGGCTCTGTCCGGAGCTTCAGACGATGGAGCAGATTAAGAAGATCGCACGACCGTGTGATGTAGCCGATACCGGCCTCATCTGTGATTTGCTGTGGTCGGATCCCGAGGAGGGCCTCAGCGGATGGGGTGAAAATGATAGAGGCGTTTCTTTTACCTTTGGTCAGGATATAGTAGAAAAATTTTTACGCCGGCACGACTTCGATCTGATCTGCCGTGCCCATCAAGTCGTTGAGGATGGCTATCAGTTTTTTGCAAAGCGTCAGCTCATCACTATTTTCTCTGCCCCCAATTACTGCAATGAGTTTGACAACAGTGGTGCAGTAATGTCTGTGGATAGTGAACTCATGTGCTCTTTTCAAATACTAAAACCCGCTGTAAAAAAGCCTAAATTTTACCAGTAATAATTAGCTAAATAAATGCAGGTATTGACAGCTATAAGTACTCATGTTGCTAGTTTCTTTTTCTGAGCTTATTGTGCAATTGATCATGTGAATTCACCTCAGGGTGTCCAGAATGCTTTTTAGATTACGTGGCGTCAGTCAATTGGGTGATACTTTTTTTTTCTTTCGTGTGTGTGTACCGTCTGCTTTGTGGCAATATTTCCTCGCGTCGGAAGGGGAGAGGGTGAGGTGAAGGGGGGTGGGCGAGAGGGTTGTGTGATTGGATCACTGCTTACGAGTGGAATGAAAGGGGGGGAGGGGCTGAGGAGGGAGCAAGGAGAAGAAGACTTTGCGGATGGCATCGGTTCATTCGATTTATCTTCTTCAATTGCTTTTTGATTCTACCTAGTAGTATGGAAGCGCCTTTTCCTTCCTCAGTGTAGTTGTCGAACCTTCAGTGAAAACCCCTTTTTCGACGCATCGTTAAACATTGAGTCTTTTCCGACCGGATAATTTGATTGAGATAACTTTGCAAATGGCACGTATACGAAGAGGAAGCCACTATCATAGATTCAATCATTTTTTATTCATCCATCGTGGGGAAACGCAACTTCCTTAAGAGAGCAAATACAATGTGATGCGTGCTTAGTATATAGTTATTTATATATTGAAATTTGTACACAACTAGCAAGATTTATTCTGGTTTTATGTTTATTGTGTCTTCATTTTTACTTGTTCGATGTTTCCCTATTATCTCTACTAGTAGTGTGTGCCTGTATCCTTTGATTATATCTAATACGCGTTTAAACGAAACTACGAGGGAAAATTTCCCATTTATCATAAAATCATCTCTTTTTCCTTATTTTTCTTTTTTCCATGCATTTCATATGCATGTGTTTGTGCACATTTGCATACAAGTATCTTGGCATCTTCCATACAACAAGGGTGAACAACTAGCCCTTGGGTAGCTCGGATAATGTCGAGTCCGTTTTACTCTGAATTAGACAAACAGCAGCTCGAGGAGCCTCTAAATGATGTTGAGGCGTTCCTCAATTGTGCGCGATACAATGAGGACGACGATGTGGAGCTCCTTCAAAACTACCTAGACCGATATCCCGAGAATATTGACGCTCGGGATGAGCAGGGTCGTACGGCAGTACACATGGCAGCTGCAAACGGTCATATGAAAATTCTAGAGGTGCTTTTTAGGTTTAGCCCTCGACCAGATTTATCCAATAGGGAAGGCAACACGGCACTGCACTTTGCTGCGCTTAATAACCGCGTTTCTGCAGCCAAGCTACTCTTGCGCAAAGGCTGGAAGGCCAACGCAGTGAACATCTTTAACCGCACACCGCTCCATTTGATTCAAGAAAGAGGGTTTGAGGAAATGGAGACAGTTCTTCTATGCCATGATCCTACCCTAGATGAGCCTGGGGATATGATGACAAGTGTCGAGGAAGAAGATGCGGCTGCTGCTGACGTCCAAAAAGAACAAGAGAATAATGATAATGAAGAGGAAGAAAGCCATACAGTTAGGAGTTCGAATCCAGAAAAGGAGCTACCTGGAGCGTGTTCGGCTGCAGGTGTTGCACACTCGTCTCAACCCGTTGCAATGTCAAAATTTCCAACACCGGTTTCTAATAGTGAGGCGTTGCTCGGATTTTCACGCGTGGATGAGGTTGAATAGTGTAGAAAGACATTGGAGGGGTTGAAACTTGAAGAGGGTTCATATACCCTCTCATATAACTTTTCCTTGTAATATATTTAATAATGTTTGGTGCATACGGATGCATAAAATAATGCGCACCGAGGTATTTTAATGGGATTTAATTTGTTTTCATATTATTTTACGCACTGTATCTCTTTGGCTGGATTGATTTCGGTCTCTTTTTTCATCTCCTTTCAAATCCACGGTGTTTCTTTCTTTTCCAAGCAGAGGTCAATCGTTATACGGAGCAACGGAGCTCTATAACTTTCCCGTACACCTATATGTCTTTAGAGAAAGATTCTTTCTTCAAGTTTTCTTTGTGGAATTGAAAGCACTGGACATTTAGAAAAGACAACTTAGGACTAAATGGAGCCGAGACGCTGGCGCCCCATATTCTACAACCCTTTTACGGAAAGTGTACGACGTAGCAAATACAAACCTCTGTATCGCGGTCTTTTCCGAGTCCTCCCGCTTCACGTCTGGGGGTTCTCTGATATTTGCAAGATTCTTGGCTACGCAGCCCATAAACCATCGCTTTTTGGGTTTCCTGACGAGCCTACGTGCATTGTTAACACCGCGTACTTTTTACCCTCTCATCGTAGTTTGAACCGCGGCGTCTTCGCCTTTGGATTGGAGAGGGGATGTAAGAGTATTATCATCCCTGCCTCATGCAGTGGCGATCCGTTTGACGCCTTGGATGTGAAGCTAGTCGAGCCGCTCTTTCGTTGGAACCCGGGGGTGAAGTACCTTTATCTATCGCAGCATTGTCAGCCCATGGCAGCACATTTGGTACCGCATCTTGCAAAATGCCACCAACTGAAAGAAATCACCCTTGAAGGTTGGAATGATGCTGTAGCGATTCATCGTGTTGCGATGGCATGTAAGCAAGTCGACGTCCTCGAAACGTTCAGCCTGGACGACCCGCCACGTAATTGGCAGAATGAGCTCTCCGTTCAAGCCCTCACCACGCTGATTGAGATGCACCCTAAGCTACGCTCGGTTATGTCGCACCGGCTCTTTCTCAGCGACTGGCAACTTGCCACGCAGTTCTCTCGTTGTAAGCACAACATCGCCCTCGTAGTCTTCTCGTGCGATTATGTGCTGTTTCACTATTTTTTCTTCCTTGCGTTGCTTTGTCTGCCGGCATATGCCGGCTATCGAATCGTGCGTCATTGGTGTGATGGTCGTCTAAGCGAGAATTATACCCACTTTTGGTCTGTCTTAGCATTTGCATTTACATTGGTCGGCTTGGTTGCTTTGGACACGTTCATGCGGAGATCCTGGGGGTGGGGCTGGGTACACCTGCAGAAGTACGTTATCTTAACCAGACGACGAATGGATCTCCTTAGGAGCTCTCGCCAAACCGCCCTTGTAAAGTTGTGAGATGCTTTTATTGTCGCTAAATGAGAGTTTTCTGTGTCGCGGGGGATGTTGCGGTTAGCACTCCCGCGACTTTTCAAACTCCTTAGCGTTACTCTAATTCATCAGCAGCCTTGTTTACCGGTCTTCCAACCCCTATCGTGAGTAGCAGTGGCCGAAAAAGTAGAGAATGATTCTCTCTACCGATTTTACATCCAGGCACGGAAACTGGTAATCTCAAGACACGTGCTCATCTTCCTTTCTTTTTCTGTTCTCCTTCATATGCTTTATTACTTTTCTAGCAGTTGATTTGGTTCAAAAAGGTAGATCTTCAACAGGGATCGAATACCCATCATCGTAGGGATGAGTTCCGATTTTATTTTAGAAACCGGCCACACCGCCCCTGTCGTCGACATCGCCGTTGATGCGGATGGGAAGCGCTTGGCGACCGCCGGCGAGGATGGCACGATCCGCTTCTACGAGTTCGAACCCCTTCCCGCGTCGGCCGATCCCGCGACGGGTGGGGACGCGAAAGGACCCGGCAGAGCCCCGGAGGACCCCCCGGGCTTTGGTCGCTGGCGGTCCACCCATACGCTGCCCACCGAGGATGGCAGTGCGGTGACCTGCCTCGCGTGGGCGCCTTTGGAGTACTACAGCAACGCGCTCGTCGCCTGCACGGAAGGGGGCCACGTGACCCTCTGGGAGGACTTCACCGGGGCCCCTTTGCACGCCCCGGTGTACGTGCACGAACTCCCCGCGCCGGGGGGCTGCGTCG